CGGATATCACCGACAGCGGTGGTCGACACATTGGCTAGGTTATTATCAAAATAAGAAAGGGGTTCCAGAGGATTTTAGTTGTTGGAAAGACAAAGAGTGATAATAACCCGTGGAGTATTACCCTACGTTGATTGTACATCAGGTTGAACCAATGGTGTGTTGAATCAGTTTCCTTGACAACGGTTCCAGCACGCGACATTTTTGTCCACGAAATGCCACACCTGTGTAACGTGTAAAAGACAGGGATTTTATTCAGAACAAAGAATGTAATTGACAATAGGTGTAGAATCGTTATCGAATAGGTACACTTCTTTATTAATACCACCTTCAATCAAGTCTTACTAGATGAAAGCCTTTTGAAATAGATCAAGTCTCTGCCTTATTCTTTGTCCAATAGTTCGATTACCTTGTTTACAAGAACGAACGGGTACATTGAAGATTTAAGTAGCTCCAAGTTTTCCTATAATGAAAGAGTATTGAACAATTAGATGTGGCTTGTAGATTTTAGAAGTATATAGCAGTACGTATGATGGTGGAACGAACGGTAAATGCTATCGATTTTTTCCACCTCCTTTCCTTTATAACCTAACGATGTATGTGTAGACATCTTCAATGGTTGGCATCACAATTTGAAAAACCCTTTCTTGTCGAGTGGAAAGGTGAAAAGAAGTTTCTATTTTAGCTCGTATTGTTTAAGTTTATGGTATAACGGTACATTAAATGAAAACTTTGTATAATGTCATTGTCAATTGGAGAAGATTTATATTATAAAATGCTTTTACTTAGTCGAATGCGCTAATATTTTTAAGGTATATTTTGAACAGGTGTTTAGATGGTTATTATCGCTATAGATTCTATATCTCAATAGAAAGTAGCGAAACTTGGGTTAGTTAATTATTGATCAGTAAACGGGGTTTGGCTATAAGTGACATTCAAATGAAACAACAGGAGATGTATTGGGCTTTTCGAGTGCGCCACAAAATATTGATTAGGTGTAAGAGCTCAGGTAAAAGCGATAGAGGTGTATAGAGGTGTGAGTCAGGCTCGATTGTTTCGTGGAACAGGTGGATAGATAATCATACTGTCATTGTCTCTCGGTGTCTCTCTTTTAGTCATGTCCACTACAGCGGAGACCAGCTTGTCGGGTAAGGAAGTTTTGTTGATTGATATTTAGTTTTCTCGGAGGTGGTGGGGTGGGACAAAAGTGTTTTAATATTACTATTATTATTAATTAGAAATTACAATGCATACAAAAGGAACATGGCATAGAAAAGAATACAGTAGGAAGTGAAACATACAACATGATAAAAACAAACTGAAACTTTCAAACGGGCAGATATTATGTAATCTCTCAACAGTGATATAATAAGATCTAGCCACAAGGATTTGACCGTAGCTTGAGAACTACAGTAAAACCTTGTTTATTCGCATATTTCCGTTCCCGATGAAATCGTGCGGTTTAACGAATTTCCAGATATATATGTCCATAATATGGAGTAGGGGAAATGCCAATGATTAACAATATAATTGATTTATAGTAGCTGGCATCTTTATCATGACATATTCATGATAATTATAATTTATATTATTTTATATTTCTGGTATTATATTATAATATATAGTTATAGAATATCAAATAGTTGTAAATTCTAAGTGAAATGCCTATGATTAACAATTTTAACAATTTTATTGATTCATAGTAGTTGACATATGACATATATATATAATTTATATGGTTTTATATTTCTGGCATTATATTATAATATATAGTTATAGAATATAATAACTTGAGAACTATTTTTACATACCATATAGTAAGTGAATGCGTTTAGTAATTCGTAGTATTTTGATATCTGTGTCATGACATATAGCTCAACAATTGATGTATTGGGCACTATTTTAACAGTGAAAATATTTTATTGTTTTTATGATTATTGACATTATCATGACATATTAATGATAGCAATAGTGATATTACTTTATATTTCAGGCCTTAGTATATAGTGGCAACTCATTGAAATAATAATTAGGTTTAATTTCCATATTTCTGAGCACAAGATGTTACTCCTGGAACTAATATTATGGATACAATTCACAGGATATGTTATTTAAAATGATGCCAATATTGTTGTTGTTTTTTTTAATTTAGTTAAAATCGTCTGCCATTAAATTCAATGAATGCGGACAAGACAAAACCTTCAGATGTCATCAAGTGTAGACTACTTTTTGGAGTTTTTAGGATTCAAAAAAGTATTGATTAATAGATGTAATATTTTACCTGCTATATGTAGATATACTTTATAATAGGAACACATGATACGACCGATATTGTGAAGTTGGTATTTATTTTTTGTTAGAGTCTACTTTCCGCTCAAAGTTCTAAGCATGTACCAAAAAAGGGTGTATAAAGCCATGCTGGGAAAGTGGTGTAACAGGTATCTACGGACGTATCTTCTTAAAAGCACTATTTTCCCTTATTAGGTTTCCTAACCATATAGTATGTATTGGAGATGCTTTATACAACAGATGTGGTATGATTTCTGCGTAAAAAACAATTAAAGGAAAAGGATATTTGCTGTAGTGACTCATAATCTTATCTTGTTTTTCGGGAATAACTGAACAAGAAGTCGCATCATAAAAACGATTATGAAAGTAGAAGTGTTCCCAATGCACAAAGACTATTTTGAATTCTTGCATAAACTTATTATGGGATGGGACTCAAAACCGTTCAGAATGGGGTTCAATACTCTATATGACTGTGATAAAAGTCTGTAGAAAGATAAACAGTGTATCCCTGGGTTATATTTCCATCGATTTTCTAACTGAGGTGTGTACTTGCCATGTGATTCTATATCTCACTGAATACTATTGATTATCATATAGTCCACAGGTGTAACGTTCTATATTTCACCTTAATCACTCTTTCCACATTAGAACAAAGGACGTAATGGTATTTTCTTCTCAATCCACGTATTTGATGGGCTTTTGTTGATAGTGCCACGTCATTTGGTATACAATTGAACTTTGTTGTTGTTTAACTTCGTTTTATACAAAAGTACTAGATATGTTGTACTTTGTCGAATCCGATGCGACGTATCACGTCAGTTGGGTAATCAGCGAATTTTGATGACAGCTTACTTCAAACCACCAAAATTTTTAGTTTGCTCATAGGTGATAACCATAATCCCAAGGATCCATCTGTCCCCAATTACCCGTACTCTAGTATTGACGTATGTTTGTCCACTTTGAGAGGTAAACCAAACTCCCAAGTATTAGCCACACACCTGTCCTCTACCCCTATTATCATAATTAACACCTAAACAATTATCACCAATGCCTAGGTTTGATAGTGTGCAATGGTTTTTGTGATACACGATGGTGTTTGCAGGCTATTTGGTAATTCAGTAAAAGGGTGTATACTTTGATGGATGTCTTCTCACAGGTAGGATCGTTTTGTCTCTTGAAGCATATTTAAATCAGCAAAATCCTTGCTATGGGCTGCAGAGGTAAATTTTGAAATTCGTTGAATATCGGCCGATTTTCAAAAAGATTATTTGTAGCATCAACTAAACTAAGACATGTTCAAGAGAACCGATTGAGATTCCGATACCCGTAAGATGCGATCACAATGATTTCGCTAGGTGTATTAAGCCCATTTGCTTTGGACATGGGTTAAGACTTGTGGTGCCATGCTTCAGATCTGAACATACACAGTTTTAAAATTGTTAAATAATCCATTTAGGTTGACGTATTGACGCTTGTGTAAAAAATGTTGAGTTTGGAGAGTCGGGGTGTTCGTATTCTAACAAGATAATACACAAATATAAATTGGCAATATGGCTATACAATGAAACCGTAATATTTAGTATTTAGTCGCCTAGCAGCTGCCAATCCTGCACAATGTCAATGATGTAGTGATAAGTGAAGATTATTTTGGTGATGTTACTCAGGAAAATCGATGACAAACCACGGTAGAGTTTGGTAAATAACGTGACTCGTTGCTATAGGCTTGTATTTAGTCATGTGAACAAAATTTAGTTAATGTCGCAACACTGGAGTTGAATCATGTTCCGAGGCATTGAAATCTTTTTATAATGTATAACACATAGATTTCCCAATGTACTCTACAACAGTAACCAACAATAAGGCGACAGTTCCATTGTTAAGAACTTTAATAATCTCAGTTAGTATTCTGCATGGTAGGTCTCTCAAGAACGTGGTGAGTTTCACGGGTTTAACTTATTTGAACACCTGATGCCCCACCCATCATTGTGCCACACTCTACAATGACAAGCGAAATTGTATCGAAACGTCATGTGAAAAAAACTGTGTACTGAACTATTTAAAGACTTTTAGTTGTAAGGTTTTAAAATGCTCATGGTAATGGTAATACACAAAATAAATTGAAAATTTCTACTAGGTGTAAAGGCTTTGCCAATTACATGTTGCATTTCGTTTGATAAATGACATAGATATGAACTCCGTACGATATTTTATCTTCTATATAATTTTGTAATAATACTGTATCAGTTGAAAATATGTCATTATTATCAAAAATAGAGGCATATACAGGATAAGATATACGCTGCATGCCAAAAGCGAAGTATGGCTTTTAATGATTTATATATAAAATTTGAGAATATCCTGTGACATGGAATAGGATACGCAGATTTATTTCCATACTAGGTCAGCTTGAAATAAAAACTGTGACGTAATTATTGACTATAGTTGATTAACGTGGTGCCCACATGAAAGGATTGTTCCAATCATGTGTTGAGTGATAGCAACAAGGTCTTGATAACTTTAGGCGATATCGACGACTATAAACTTTACTGTGTAGTCACAATTATAACGATTAATAAGTCGGATCAGTTTGTCAAATTATAGATGAATATAATCAAATCTCTGATTCAAGCTAGTGTTGGTACGTCAGAATTTTTGAGAGGATTATGATATAATGGTGGTCAAGTAATTATGAAATAATTTTCGGATGGAGTGAAATGAATTCCATCATGTTTCGTAAGGATAGTGACGTGGGATTTTGGGAGACGTATTTCAGATCTCTTGGTGGAAAATTTCAAGGTTTGTAAAATTAAAACGTAGAATTCGTAAGCATCAAACTTCATAAATTTGTTCGAATTTGAGGCTACAAAACTAATGTGAATATCACTTCTAGAATGGTACTTAGTTTGTATTTAGAAATATAGAACACGTACAGGTTATTGTTAGTGTAGTGTATTTGCTGTGTGATGGGAGGATGGAAACCAATAATCAGGACATTAGGTTTTAGGTATATTTTAGTAATTTCGAGCAAGAAAAACATTACATAGGACTACTATGCTTTTACACCTAAAATTGTAGAATGTACTATGTGTACGCACGGAAACTTTTATAGTAAACTCTGTCTTCCTATCTAAATCTAAGTTGTAAGTTAATGGGTATAGGTTAGGTAAGCGATATACAATATCGATATGGCCTGTTTATATTTCGATTAATACAATATAGTTGATATTGAAATAGATTATAAGTAGATAATACTCATTTAAAAATACTTTGAACGTGCTAACCCATTTATAGCTGACTTCCATAATCGTTAGAATGCGTGACACTATTTTGAATCCTATTTAAAGATAATTTAGATATGATATACATCAAGTTTTTCAAGACCGACGTTACTTCCGGTATAGCCTCTTCTCAGAATACAGATCCTGACTGACTTACTACCTAACCCGACCTACTTCACTACTAAATCTATTTTTCCTTTAACAGAACTAATTTACAACTATCGACAACAGTTAGTTATTATTTGACATTATCCTATTAGATATAGATTTACAAATTGTAACTATTTTACTTTGACTGCCCTGAAAATAGTCCTTAGTTTAACTTGAAAGTTTTTGAGGGCTTATTAGCTGAACAGCGTTTTACTTGATTTAGATCTAAGTATTTCAATTTCATTAAATTCTGGTTATCTTTAAGCTTGACGTCTTTCAGCGTAGTTTTGATTTCACCTCAAACAACCCCGTCGTCAGGAATGAATTGGTGTCGGGGCTCAGATTTGTATTCAGAAAATTTGAAAAATCGGAAAGGCTCAGACAATTTCTGACAATTTTGAGTTGCCAAAAATATTTTTGATTTTGTACAAATTAATCAATCTCTGCTGAACTGAAGAAGGTTTTGATGGGGCTTAATTCTCACTTGCTGGAGCCCAGTCCCCACGGACCCCACCCTAACGACGGAGTTGCCTCAACAGACTTGAACGTACTGTTGATTTTAGATTGACAACTGCTATGATACGTTAGCTTGACATCCTGTAAAGTTTTTGATTTTAGATCTATAACCTTTAGCGCAGTTTTAGATTTCTGCCTTGCAATTAACTTAGTTTTTATTTTATTTTCAGAACAAAGTGTAGAAGAAGGACAGAGTATGACTCCAATGGATGTGACGTCACCACAAGGCGCCGGAACTGGAGTAATGGAAGACGACAGGCCATTAAATATGACAAATAAATCACCTGAACCTGATATGAAAACTGAAGATAAAGGTCATCCAGAAAGAAAGAGACGAGCCAGTAACGAAAGTGAAGATGTAAGTATATTGAAATAAATTGTGTTTACAAGTTTTGGCGGATGTGAATTCTTGTTCGATATATTAGCGTTCTGACACCCATTCCAAAAAGGAGCAGGCACAGTTCTGTTATTTTGAAAATGCTTCAACATAGAAATAATAAAAATGACGGTCGTATATTTTCAATATGTACAAGCGAGAGTTGTAAATGAAAGTGACTATGTGTAACAGCCTTAAAATATCTTGAGCTCATAGATGATAATCCTTTCTGCTAAAGAACACACGAAGAATTTTTATTTTAGTAGCAAAGTAAGCGGAATACTCATTTGAAGAACATCATATGAAATAATTTTAGTCACAGATAACTACAAGTGTAACTGTTCTGACTAGACTAGAGTTTAGCCTTGTCACTTTTTTCAATCGTCCAAGTTGTAAATAAAAAATCGTAGACATGGATGTGTGAATTTATACTCTCTACTCACCCGTGTTAATTTACTTGATATACTGTTAGATATTACTTATATTATGCTATGAATCTAATTTAAATATGAGCATTCAGGCGAAACATTGTCATTAATATAAGCCTTTTCACTAATGGAAATAACTGTGACATAGATGTGCTTTGCTTCCAGCAGTTTTAATGTGTATACAAATATACTTATTTAATTACTCATATGGATTAAATGCATATAAAGCTTTGACACTATTTGTTATTTTGTGTCATTATTCATTCAAGGATTTTAAAAATTCCATTTTCCATTATCTTACGTTTGGTAAATGATATTGATGAATAATTTTACTACGATGTCAGTATATTTCTTGAATATAATAATAATCACACGACATACAGATATCATTTAGAGACCTCCTTAAATTTCATATGAAGTCATGTACATAATATTAATACAATAAGCAATTATTGCAAAGGCAATTTTTTTTGTTTTGCAACTTGCATAAAGCATTAAGGAGTCTTGTTTTAATCTCTACGTGATACAATGAAATTTGAACATAATAATCAGTAGGCGAATCAGAAGGTCATGAAAGATCATCTGTTACCTTCTCTTTCAAATCAGTTGTCATATTTCAACCTTATAAAGAAATCGGTATGGGTAGCCACGTTATTGATGAGGGAACAAACTTATTGATTTTTGTGTTTAAGAGAAATTCTGTTGAGAACGTCATGCTGGTTTTTGTACCAATTTACTGTAGGATTAAAAATGAGAACGTAACAGCCGGTCTTCATAGAAAACTTCTAAGGTGCAATTTAGTGTCACATCTGTAACTGGCACGTGAACAGCTCGGCGCCATTTGAAGAGAAAATTTGAGATATTAATTGTCTCTCATAGGGATACAGAACCGCTTTTCCTGACGTTACCATGACAACACAAGTTCCAAATGCTAGGATAGAAGACCCTCGAAAGTAATGTGGCGGCTCATTTCCGAGGCTGAGTGCTTTGCCTCTCAAATTAATTGTATCCCTGGGCATTGGCTTTCTTTATATTGTCTAGACTGGACGATTCGAGCTAACAATTAGGATGAATTTGGACCCAAGTCTACCTAATCCTATAGACTCTTATATCACGTTCTCCTATCAATCTTAATTTGGGAATATTGAATATCTCCTCTTTACTTCTACCAAGTGAAGTAGACTGATATTAAGAGTACCTTTGAGACTATGTTAACGATATTGAAGGTAACATAAACGACCTAGTTTCATATTTCACAAAATAATTTCCTTCTATTCCTTGTCCATGAGATGAAATAAGATTAAATAACACCTTCCATTGTAGCAGAAGTCTTAACCATTTATCTAAAATTAGAATCGGATGCCACTGTCTAAATGGACACAATTGATGATCATGAAAACATTCCACCAGGGCTACTTTTTCTACCATAATCTGCTCAATCGCTTTGTTTTTGCAAATCTAACCGTGAAAACATATAAAAGACTGTCACATTCAAAAAACCATTTGTTACATTTCCAACAAATTTCAAGTCAATGTTGAAGGAAAATCTGAAAACTAGAAAAAGTATTAGAAATAAGAAACTACTATTACCTTTACAAAGTTTTAGTTATTAATTATTTGATTGCATTACTATTATATTATATAGTGTATTAAATAGTGATTTGATTACATTACTATAACATAGTGTAGTAAAGATCGTAGTAAATAATGATTAGTAAATAATTATTTGATTACAAAACTATTACAGAGAGTAGCATATAATGATTTGATTACATTACTACATTGTATTACAGAGTGTATTAAATAATGATTTGATTGCATTACATAACATAGTGTAGTAAAGAGTGTAGTAAATAATGATTAGTAAATAATGATTTGATAACATTACTATTACAGAGCGTAGTAAATGATGATTAGTAAAAAATGATTTGATAACATTACTATTACAGAGCGTAGTAAATGATGATTAGTAAAAAATGATTTGATAACATTACTATTACAGAGCGTAGTAAATGATGATTGATTTGATTACAATATTATTACAGAGTGTAGTAAACAATGATTTGATTATGATATTATTACAGAGTGTAGTAAATAATGATTTGATTACATCAATATTTCAGAGTGTAGTGACAAAGGCTAGCGAAGGTGGAACTGGTGATGAAGTACAGGGAGGTAAAGATGATGATGACGAAGACGAAAATGAAGAAGATGAAAAATTATCCAAAAATTATGATCCAGAAAGATTGAAAGCTTTCAATGTAAGATAATTTTAGTTAATATAGAGTTAAGAAAAAGCCAAACGCATTAGACAGTTTTCTTGTCTTTAAAGGTTTCTCACAGATTAAGTGAATTGTTTTAGTGTTGATAGGTCTGACATTTTTGCATCTGGATAGCTGCATTATAAAAATATAGACTTAAACCAGAATTTTCAATGTCGATAGCTGTGTGTTTCAGATTCGGAGTCCTCTCTTTCGATAAACTCATATTTATGGTTGATAATTGAATTGTTAGTATCAATGAATATTATAATTCTATTCTACTTCTGCAGATGTTTTGCCGATTGTTCGTAGATGAAAATCTCGATAGAACAGTTCCTATTTCCAAACAACCAAAAGATAAAGTACAGGCAATATTAGAGGCTTGTGATAGACAGTTTCCGGAATTCCATGTGCGATCTCGGAAGCGAATCAGAACTTACTTGAAATCGTGTCGACGTATGAGGAGAACAAAAGAACAGAATGGTTGGGAACCGGTAAGACGTTATTTTAGTAATGCCACAAGATTAATACTATTTCACGATTAAAATCAACATCGTTAATCGTTCTTCAACCTTTGATTTTGTCCAAATATGTATAATATGGTATTTATAAATGTTTCCGGTGGAAGATTTGTCTTTTTGGTACATTACAATATGTTCAAGAATATTTGAGTACATTATTTCGGTTGTACAGTGCATGGAGGAATTGTAGAATTGGGTTTATTATTGACATTGTACACCAAGTTGTCAATAACGATTGATATTGTATCGTGCATTGAAAAGACTTGTTTATTTCGTATTATGCACAACTTAAGATGATAAATATCTTTATTCATTTTCCACAGCTTCGACCAACACCACCCCATCTGACGTCTGCAGCTGCCGAGAGTATGTTGGCCCAGGCATGTGACAATGAAAGCGCTAATGCTAAGAGGATGCGAATGGGCATGGAACCATTGCCAGTAAGTGCTCTCCTATATTAGATCGTGTAATCTGTGGCTGTGGCTTTTTGGTAGTATTCAAGGCAATTTTGTTACAGCAAATTTACCAACTGAATGTTGAATAAATGCGCTTGTTCTCAAAATAATAAGGTTCAATTGAACGTTAATGCCCAATGTTTAAAACGGATGTTGTGACATTAGTCTATTTATATTGCATGATTGCTGTAGCTCAGGGCGATACTGTTGATGATATTATTCCAAATGACAAATTATGTCTATTTCTGCTAATTGGTCACAAGACGACCTTGGCGTAATTAAGGTAACTATAATTGATGGCTGTGTTTTCTAGTGTCATTTAGAAATGATGCCTGAACCGGCCGCTTTGCACCATATTATAGAATATACATGTCTGACCTTTTACACAAGTGAATTGTTTCAAATTAAAACTTCTGGCCACACTCATGTATATTATTAACTCCTTCTTTGAGAAATGGAACTTACTTAGGTCTATGAAATGTTTATGACCAAAACACGCTTTACTTTTTCTTGCAGGCAAGATCGATGAATGTGGCCTCAGTAACACCAACAACAAATACTGCCGTCACTCCACCTCAGACTACACAATCGCCCAAATCAAACAGTAACACCAATGGTAACAGTGGTAACTCAAATAGCCAAGCACAATCCCAAATTGATCGTCACGTGCCTGCCAGTAATGACTTCATACGTCAGGCACCACCACCGGCCTTCAGAGCTGCTCCCGAATTCCCTTCACCCTTCTTCGCCAATGGCAATGGTTTGTTTCGACCTGGATTTCCTGGTTATCAGCACCCAGCTCACCAACATCATACTGTCTTACAGCACCCTGTTCTACAATCTAGCACTGTTCAAAATGGTGAATTTGGTAAGTTTACAGTTTATATGGTTTTTATATAGTTTCAAGCATAGCGCTGTCTTGATCTACTGTATAGGTTTCATAACCATTTAACTATTTAATTAGAATAGAAGAAACCCTTTTCTATATTAGTCTGTTATTAGTCTAAACGTTCTCCTGCTGTAACAATCAATTTAGATTGTATAAATGTATCTCAGACATTAAATTGAATAATGACGTCATCTAGCCAAAGTTAGACTAAACGCTCTTAAAGAGGGTCTAGGTTCGTTATACTTAAGGTGCAAGTCACCGAGGACAAAAACCGGAACTTCCTCTATGCTTATTTTCTTCCGGTTTTGATTTGCGTCTTCTTTTTTTTAAATGATTAGGCTACGTTATTTTTACTTTATACCCATCAGTCATTATTTATTTTATTTAACAAATTATTTGTAAATTATCAAAGCTTGGAGCAAGGTCTTCAAGGCTAGTCAACTTGAACAATTAGTTTCATTGTTGCGTTGTGGTCTGAGTATTGACATTATCAATTACTGTAAACTGGTGGCATTAAAAACAAGAAGGGGTTTTAATTCCATCAAAAGCCTCTAGGGTTCTCATGCATTCTTCCTGATTCGATTTAGGTTTAATGATTGAATGGCGTAATTCTGATAACGAAAAACAATGCTAACTTCCTTTTTGAAAAAATGTATAAATGTAGGCTAGCGACCTATGACTTTTTTTTACTGCAAAGAGGCTAACGATTGCTACCGCAAATAATGTACGGTTTAAAATTCAAACAAGTGTCCCAAGTAACGTCCAGTTCGGTTTTATTTTGAATTTTACTTACCTGCAACTTAACAATGTATTCTATTTGTTTATCCAATCCAGGCCCAACGGATTTAAGCATGAAGAAACAAAACAGCAAGGGACAGCTTAGTGGTACAGAAGTTTCCACCATCAAACAGTTGATTTCCGGTTATAGAGAATCTGCCGCCTTTTTATACAGATCAGCAGACGAACTGGAACAACTCCTGCTCCATCAAAATTAGAAATTATTATCAGGAGACGTTATGTCACAGAGAGGTCACAGGTGATTTTGTTAGTTATAGCTCATCTGTGTAGATAGAAGATCGGGCGTTATGTTCCTTGATAACTTTAAAACGCCAGACATTTTATGAAAGACAAAACCTCAAAATTATTGGACTTTTTTTTCCTGAATGGTTGTGAGATATTTTGTGATGACGAGGAATTTTATTTTGTCCAACACTGTTATAATTTGGTTGTGACAGAAAGAACGTTATATATAACAACTGTTATTTGCATATTTATTTAAATATATGTTATTTGAATTATTAGCATATTTAAAGGGACGATGGTGTAATATTGTAAAGACGTTGTTTTCTTTTTCATCTTATCTATTTACATAAATATATATTTATTCCCAAGTGGTTAGTGACTCGAGGTGTCTTATTTGAATGTCCTCTTTAAAAAGTTTTGAAATCAAATGAATATCCATTTGCCTTTTATTTCGTCGTGGTTGTCATAATTCTATTTTTCTAGTCAAGTGTTTTACTGGTATTTCCATATTTCAATATTTCCATAATAATTGATATCTATTTTTCCATATTATTTATTATGCTATAACATTGTTCATAATATCATCCATAATATATAATTATGAAATATTTCATGGTGTATAAGTATTATTAGTATTTCATTAATTATCATATATATAAGTAATATGTATATTATGACTCTTATATATTGTGATATTCCCTTCATATATTCCAACATTTGCATAATTTCTTGCTGAGGTAATGTTTTTAAGGATATTTAAACTTGTCGCCATTTCATGTACTGATGTAAGCTGTAAGTACTCTATGGTGCATAGCTATTTTCGTTAAGTAAAATTTCTTAAGGTAAAAATGTTTGTTGATTTAATTGGTATATTTTGAAATATCAATAATAAAATAGATACAGGCAACGCAATGAAAAAAAGTTTGAAAATTGGACAAGCTGTGAAAACGTTGTATGCAAATGAAGTACATAATACAATAATTACTCCCTTTATAAACTCCAATATAAATGGATGAACTGGATAAATGGATAAACTAGAATGATTTGACAATTTATATTATAATATTCCTAATGTGTACCTTTTTTTAAAAAGGTTTTTGTTATTTTTTCAGTTGTCACATAAAAAACATAATATTGATTTGTATATCCATATATTATGAAAGATTTTGTGAGAAATGATGCCGTATTTATTTATTTATTTTTTTTTTTTTATTAATTCAAAATAGGCCGAATTTAAAGTTTAATTGTAACTGAATTTATTGAATGTTATACTTTTTCAAATGGGTCGAGAATTCCGATATGCCAGTATTTAGTTTATCGTTATCAAACAAAAAATATATTTTCGAATCATGTTTTGTTTTTTTATTTTCTATTTTTGCTTTTTTTTATATAGGCCTGCTGTAATATATTAATGCTCAATTTCGATTTTAAGGTACAATGAATTTGGTTATAACTTGTGTACATAATATGGATAGTCGTAGAGAGTCGGGGTTGATAAGATTAATTTGAAACAGAGGTTGAATGGAATCATGAATTAAAATTTATACGGCATCCTTATTTTTAAGTGTCAAATTAAGCAAACTATTTGATTATTTGGTGTTTTTAATGAAATATCCTGTAATCATATCCGTATCATTATGTTCTTATTGCATATGATTAAGATTATTTTTTACCAATCATAAATGTCCATGTACAGTCTGGATAAACAAAAAAAGACTTTTTGACTTTTCTTGATCGGTCATTCATTGGAATTCTGCTGGTAATTCTCCTCTAATTTAGCTAATAATGAAATACTTATGAACATGTGAGACAAACTGGTATTTTTCCAAGTCATTAGAACACCTTTACTGTCTATTTATATAAGTATAACCATTTTCATTTTCATAAATAAAAATAAGGGAACCCATTTTTAATGTTTTGAATCATTCTGCAAAGTAAAATTTTAAAATCACACATTCCATTTTAAGGCAGTGGGCTACGTTATGTATTAACTTATAAACAAAGACAAGTGCTAATTTAATTTATAATTCCTAATTTATTTTTTATTTATATATTTATTATGTATTTCCATATACTGCAAGTATGATCATTTTTACTGATTACTTTGTTGAACAGAGGGTAAGTAATACAACATGTTAGAATAACAAAAAATTGAGGATAAAAACAATCATTATTGTTTTTTTGAAAATTGTAGCAGCTGAAACAGACTTTCAATGTTTGAGTCTGAGGTTTCATCCCATTGTTTATAGATTATCTCAATGGAACATGTGTTTCCAAAAATTATAAGCTATAAATGTTGTATTGCAGTTTTTGTATAAGAATCTCATATCATTGTGCAATATGTCTGTGAACTGATAATATTTTGGATGTATTGTATAGTTGTACTGTTGATATTATTTATAAAAAAAATAAAGTTATCATTTACATTTACAAAATAGAGACGTAGTCCATATTTAGACTGTATAGAGTTTTATTTTTATACAACCCATCATAGGTTCAGTGGGATTATAGGTATTCGGATGACAACACTCTCCACTTCCCAAACACAAATTAAATTTTGAAAGTAGATTTTCGTATTTTAAAGCAATTTGAAAATTTTCTTAAACAAATTAACAAGGACTTGTGGTTAACAACGTTAATCTTTTGCATATATCCGAATTATCACATGGTAGATTCATGCCTTAAGTTTCTTATGCCCATGTATGGCAGACTGACATTTTTTTCTGTAGATTTATATATAGGCTACTGCAATAAATGATGATAATATTTACGAACCCAATATTTCACGTGGGTCCATTCCGTTAAATAAAACATAAACGCAAAGCCACATATTCACTTTGAAAATATGTTCAAAACAATCCCATGCAGAAAGATTTCTATGTATTGTAGGCCTAACATGAAATAGTTTCCCTCTGGGAAGAAAGGGCTTTAGGCTTCTTCTCCCTTCCTCAAAGGTACTGGCTTTGAATACGTCTTTAAGTTTGAGAAAGAACCGTAGAATCTAAATTCCACAACGTTACGCAATAAACAGAATAATATTTACATTAGCTATTATTTTTTTCATTGGACTACAAATTCGTGTAGCGTTTATATCACCATAAACGCCATTGCCTCATCACCAAAACATTAGACGTAGTAATTTTAACCAATGATCTGAATCTGCTTCAACTGTATCATTACATGAACAGGAGTAATGACTGAGTCTCCAAGCCTGAACAAACCTTACTAACTTGCTGAAAATTAACGAGGAAGAGCAGTAGCCTATCTCTCGAGTTGTCTCTTGAGTCTGTCGATCTCTTACCAGTTCGAACATTCATTGAAATGTCACCAGGACGAGCAGCTTGCCTGGAAATGTTATCAGGACGGGTACCTTCCGTGGATCTGTTATCAGGACAGTCAGCTTCCCTCTGTCTGGCATCCATACAAGAACCCTCTATTAGACTTTCACCGGGACGTGCAGCATGGCTTTGTCGGTCTCCAAGACAAGATGCAACCCTTGAGATGTCACCTGGAAGATCAAAATCTCATTTTCTGTCACTGGGACAAGATGCAACACTTGAGATGTCACCTGGAAGATCGACATCTCTTCATTTGTCACCAGGACGAGATACAACTCTTGAGATGTCACCTGGAAGATCGACATCTTTTCATTTGTCACCAGGACGAGATACAACTCTTGAGATGTCGTCTCGAAGATCGACATCTCTTCATTTGTATCCACGGAAATTTTACTTAGAAGACCAACATTACTTCATATGCCACAGGGGCATCATCATTTTAGCATTCACAAACACAATAAGATTGCTTTGGCATATCATTTAGAAGATCATCCTTACTTCATATGTCACCAGTAAGAAATGCATTTCTTCATCAGTCGGCGGGACAAGCAGAGTCCCATGGGATATCACCAGGAGGATCAGCATCTCTTAATCTGTCATCAGAGCGAGTTACAATTCTTGAGGTAGGCTACCAACAGGAAAACATCGACCAGGCCAGCAGCATCTAACAACACTCTGCTTGAAGATGGACCTCTTCGAGACCTCCTCTCGAACTTCCTCGGCTGCCAAGGTTAACATTTATGATATTTATCAGTTGTAATTTCCCAACATTGCAGACGGTATACATTTTTTTCGACAACTATTTTTTATACTATCGTGTTCACTCAATGGATATTAAACCCAAGACATTATCTAAAAATTTCGTTGGAAATGTCATCTCAACATGACGCTCTTTCCAAGACATCATTATTTTAAAGACAAAAGTCTCACACTCGTTTCAGAAACAAGTGCCCGCATTACAAAGATTGGACCTGGTATCAGGAATGGGCAGTGCTATTGGAAGTCCAGAACCGAATTGTACCACCAATCGTGTCTAGGCTTCTGCCCTTTCATTCGGGGTCATGCCTTTGCCACCTATACAGGATTCGGGTCAGGAAAATGAATTCCTTGTGGACATGAAGAAACCAGAAGATGAAAAAAGAAATGTTGGAAGGGAAAAAGAGTTGCATGAAATTAAATCCATTTTATCTGCTCAAATGAATGCTTTTGCTGAGAGATAGGTAACAGGAAACGCCTTGAGAGTTTATCATAACTTCGAAATGAACCTTTGCCATTGGTCCAGAAAGACAGTGACAAACTTGGCATTAGTAAGAAAATAAAGACCAAGCCTGTCCCAATACACCCAAAACCTCCTAAGCCACCCAGTCAGCCAAAGAGCAATATAATAGTTCGCGAAACTTAAGCTTTTAAGTTAAGAAAGAATGTACAAATTGAGCAGCCAGTTGTAATTAAGAAGGTGTTGCCACTCTTGTAACATTCCAGCAAGACCAATAGTGGTACAAAGCCCTCCACGAAGGGATTTTTCTTCTCAAGACAGTTCAAGATCTTCTTCTGAATCCCCTCCACCAACACCAATGGAACTTGGGGCACCACGTCCAGATTTTGTACCAAGTGTGTACCATTCCTTCTCCCGTGGGTTCGTTTTGCCGCATTGTCCAACTGGCCGCATCGTGCCCAACTGCACAAAAACATTTCAGTTGCCATTTTTTCTAGCACGTGGGTGACATTATAGGCAAGCAGTAGAGGGACACAACTCTTGCAAGTTATGACCAATTTTTTATTCATTGAACTTGTCTTGTTTCGTTTTAGGGATTTATGTATTTTGTATTATGGTTCTGATCGTTTGTACTTGGTAATTATTTTATTCCAGATTTTACCATAAAACTATAGTTTCGATTTCCCTTACAGGTCCAAATTATAAATAAAACAGATTAAAATATTCCGTTTCATGTGAAACGAATGGCCATTCCGGATTTTATCAGAAACCCTTAGTTTTGTTTAACGAGTGGTTTTTGTGCAGTTGGGCACGATGCGGCATGTTGGGCAATGCGGCAAAACGAACCCACCGTTCCTTCTCCTTTCACCGGAGGACTGTCCGGGTGTGAACCCCATTCCACCACCAGTATTTGCAGTCCGTGACTCTAAGGCCTCAAAGTAACGACGCCTGATGAAAGCAGGGGAAGAAAAAAGGTAATACCGTACTCTAGGAAAACAAGAAAAGTCACGAGACGTAGCATCGGAACAATGAATTATAGAGACAATACAGAGAACACGGACACCAACCAACATTCAAATAAAAAAAGAAAAAAAAAAGCAATAAATAATTCATGGTAGTATCAAAAAAGAATATATTTTACAATATACTAACGAATTTGTAATTCTATAATTTTGAAAGCTTTTATACAAGATGGTGCAAACTTTATCAAGAATATTATGAAAATAGATTCGAAATGTTTGGAACTTTATACATTATTTTCTCAAATGACCCTCGGTCTTCTCCTTAATAAACAAAGGTGTAATACCTTTTCTGACGGGGACAATTAGCGATAACTCTATCAAAAATATGCGACTGGAGCAATGGCATTCATAAATAGACTTGCAAAAACACAAGCTTTGGGTTCATGATAAGTTCAAGAACAAATACAGGTTCAGAAGATATGAAATGAAATGATCAGAGACATAAATTATTGTACTTTGGAACAAAGTATACTGTGGAGAATGAAAGGGAGAAAACCCTAAAAAGTATACAAGATTGAAATTATATCCGTTAACATTTCTATGACAAAATACATTTGTGCCAATCTTCGATGACTGGTCATTATATCAGTTCGAACTCGTTTTGATTAGCCATGGTCGATAAGTCTAAAATACTTACTTGGGGCTAAGTAAGCAAGATTCGACAATCCTTATTTTTTAGATTACACGTACACAGTGCCATGAGAGCGAACACCTCCTATGGAGCTTTTAGTTCGAACAGCTTCCACTTTTATGACATTTTCTCCCGATAACAGCAGTAGGGGCAATGGAATTCTGAGAAGGGAATTTGAGCTTTTCAATCATTGCTCAGAGCCCAATTTCGAAGTTTGATCTTTTCAATGTCAATGGACGGACGTGTTTACTGAATTGAAAAATAATCAAAACACATTCTACTAACAACCATTTAATCATGACTTGCTCAGTTTAAAACTAAATAACTAATTCAATTCATAAAATACATGACATCATATAGTTCACAATGGAAACAATAATACATGTAGTATGGATTTCTAATAATATTCAATAAAAGATCATACTCATAGGATTTAAACGATTGGTTACCTAGGCTAAAGCCTATATTGACCGCCAAACCTAGGCATAAATCCTAGCCGAGGTCAAAGTAGGCTAATGGTAAATGAATGGGGATGGGTCTAGGCTTAGGCTACAAATCCTAATTCATGTATCATCAGCCTACTGCAAAGATCAAATTACGTTTGACTAGCATTTATGTTAGGCTAACCATTTTCTTTTTCAAGTCCTCAATGCAAAGGGATGGGATTGGCAGTAGCTTGATGTTGTGCATGAAATGAAAACGATAAATAAACTAAAATAACATTTCGCTGATTTAATAGTCATTGAAAATTCAGTTCTTGTCTCTCATAAAAACAATTTAACAAAGTTTATCTGGACATCATCATCCTAACGAATTCGTCATAATTAACTTGTCCATCACCATCAACATCAGCCTCTCTTATCATTTCATCCACCTCTTCGTCTGTCAACTTTTCTCCCAGATTTGTCATGACGTGTCGCAACTCGGCGCCGCTGATGAAACCATTTCCATCTTTATCAAACACTCTGAAGGCTTCTCTCAGCTCTTCTTCGGTATCTTGGTCCTTCATTTTTCTGGCCATCATGGTTAAGAATTCTGGAAAATCAATTGTTCCATTTCCATCCGCATCTACTTCATTGATCATGTCCTGTAGCTCGGCCTCAGTTGGGTTTTGGCCAAGTGACCGCATGACAGTACCGAGTTCTTTTGTGGTTATTGTACCATCACCATCCTTATCGAACAGAGAAAACGCTTCTTTGAATTCGGCAATTTGCTCTTCGGTAAGTTGTTCTGCCATATTTGAGATATTAATCAAGAATTTGTTTTTTTAAAATTCTAATATTCCGTGCGTCGTTAAAAGAACCTTTGTAATGGCGCCAAGAAAGCCTGCTGCAGATAATGAAGTGCGCATGCGTTACCCAATCAAAAGTCTTAAGTATTGTTCTTTGTTTTTCCAGACTCTTCATCTGATTAAAATCTAGAAGAGGCTATCCAAACAATTTGGTCCGAAAAAAAATATGCTTTTCACTATAACAAGATCATTTTTTAACATAAGAATTTGACGGGTGTGTGACATAACGAAAACACCTGTAATCCCTTTGATTCTATATCAAAGGTGTCGTTAGTCACGGAACGGAATTTTGGACCAATTAGCAAGGTGACGAATCTGTTGTTGTACGAAATGACGGAAGGGCAATAACCCTTGAAAATAGAGAATACATTTTAGAGCAAGGCCCAAAATGATATTTTCACCTTATATGAAGATTTTTCAACTGAAAAATATTCAGAATGTTCAAAAAAAATTTTTTAATTGTATTTGTGTCCAAAAAAAAATGTCAGTGATATCAGCAATATGTTTATTGAAATTAAATACCATCATTATATTTTACGAACAATGAACGCTCTCTTTGTTTACAAAATGGAGAATAAGCAACAAGGAAATGACAGAAAAAATTACATTTATATTTAAGCCTAGTCCCTTTGGTTTAATCGTAATGTTTTGTTTTTCACAATGAAATCGTCAATAGTGACGACAGATAGATTCTTTTTTCCGTGATATAGGTGAATGAAAAATAATGTCGAAATTCGACAAGCAATTAAAATCAAGAAAACCAAATTACCCTTTTACTATTACTCAAACTTCGTTTACCGGTACTTCACAAATGGATGATAATTACGATCATGACTCAGTGAGCACATCTATGATTAATAACCATACAGCCACCTTATTGAAACTGGACAAAGAACTAAAGGTATGGAAAGAATTGTAGGACAATATAGGCTAAATAATGGGCAAAGTTATGCCTGTGTTGGTATTAATGGTACTGGCCAGTAGTAGGGTATTCTTTGACCACATTTCTAAATATATGACAGTTGTCTTAGAATTTATCAACTTGATATGATTTTATATTTGATGTAAAAACACCTTCCAATATTTGAAACTGATGCTTTATGGTATTGTTTGACTTGTTTTAAAGTAAAAGTCCTACTGGACTCTTTGAACAGAATGTCGTTGAAGGAATGACAGAGTGTTCAGATGGGTGTTCCAGAAGGATGAGCATGCCCTGCTTCACAAACAACATGTGTCAGTTAATTTTGATAAAATCATAGGCCTTGTACTCATAGGTTGAATGGTGACTCTGAGACATTATTCATAACCCAAGTTATCAAAACAATTGCACAGTTTCCATTTGTTTGAATTATACTTTTTTCTAGGAATTAAGAAGTGAAAATAGATCACTAAAGATACTATTATTAGATGAAAGGTGAGTGAAGTGGGGTTTTACTTTAATCTAATATGTTTCCTTGTAACTTAATTTGTAAAGAATTTATTATATAGTAAATCAGCTTCAAAAGAGATCTGGTACGGTACTCTAAAACTGACTTTTACCAGTATAGAAATAAAAAAAATTGCTCTGCTTATTGTATATTTGACATATATTTATTATTGTACTATTACAGAGCATTGCCAGATTTATGTTTTCAATTTATATTTCCAGATCTATGTTGGAACAGATATTAAATGAAAATAAAAGTGAAAAATTTGATGAAAGAAGAATTAATTTGTTAAAATTTCAAATTATTCATCTTGAAAGACAGGTAGCACCAGTAGAAATGTTAGCTTAGCTTGCAAATTTTCAAACCCATAGTTTCCCCTGTCAGTGATGTTGGGGTTCTGACATGGATATGAGAATAAACTGAGGCTCTGTGCTACATATTGTGAAAAAGATCTTTTTTGGTCAGTTGGAAATTGAAGAAAAAGAGTTGAATGCAATTGTCTTGTCAAATTTTCATCTTGCAAAGAATTATTACTTTTCATTAGCCTAGAGTTAATACGGAGCAAGGGCTGTGCAAACATTTTTTGTTCATAGTATTGAATAAATAATTATTAGTCATTTTAAAACTGTTTCAGACATTACTATTAACAGAAGCTTTAGGAACAAGATCTGAAAATATTATGACTGTAGAAAATACATTGAGATGGTTAGCTGATCAACTGAGGTACTATTATTTCACAAAACTCTCCATTACATATTATTGGGCTATTTCTCTTGCGACTTCATCACAAAATATTGCAGATTTTCACTTCTTCATCAATCTTTTAATTGCATAATTCAACTTAATTAAAAAAAATAAGTAGAGTAAATTATGTTGCAAATATCTATGCAAAAAGTTCATAAAATATTTATTTTGTGTCATGTGTTGCAATACGTCTTGGGAAAAATTATTTCTTATCATCCTATTTTTCCATATTGATGATAAATAACATGTTGTTTACAGGGTGTATATTACAGCTGATGTAAAGGGTATTAATGTACCAGTTTCTAGAGCTGAACTCATGGCAATGGTAGAAAAAGTGGAGTCTTCTAGAATTAAATTAGCTAAAGGAATAGAGGTATCTAGACATTTAATATCATTAATTTGTAGTTCAGTACAGTTCATCCACAATATAGCAATGTGCACTCTTATATCCTATCCCAAAATATAATTTAAAAATTTTGTGAGATGTTAGGATCTGAAATATTGTTAAAGCTATAGTTTTTTGCTGATATTTTGTCTATTTCTAGAACAATAGTAAAGAAAGTCTAGCAAAGTCCACGCTATATTATAATAGTTTTATAAAGAAAAAGAATCAAAAAGATTTAACATTATATGATATAGCAGTAGGTCAGTCATCTCATCTTAATTTAAAAAGTGTTGTAAGTATTATCTAAGTCTTTTTATCCGACCTTACCTCTGTTTTGGCAATATTTCCTGCATTAGGCACTCAAATATGTTTCCTGTTTTCAATAGACTAAACAGGAGCAGGAATGTAGGAGATAAAGCTCTATTATAATTTTCATCTTCCAACTTCATCAACCAATTGAGCTGCTAAAAGTTTAATTCCTTCTATTTTTAGTTACTCTTTCTATACTATGTTACTTCAGGCTCAATTGGAATCCAAACTAAGTGTCTTATACAAAGAACTGGTCACGTTAAAAGAATCTCTAGATTATATCACACCTAAACATATAGACTCTGGTCACATGACTGGTGTCTTGAAAGAAAGATTGAAAGGAAATTTGACCAAATCTTGTATGATGTGTAAAGATTGTAGTGAAGATTTGTTACATTTATCATTGCTATATCCCTCTGCACCTTGGGTAAGTAAATAATTTGTGTAATTCCAAGAACTACAGACGTCTAACTGAATATTTGAATGATGTAAATTAATGCTATCAGTGTCCCAGATACACATACAAATTTACAAAACCTCTTTACAATCCCTTTGGCTGGTATAATATGCCTGCCATTTTGTTTTAGAATATTTGTTTTTGTTTTTTAATCCCTTATTTCAGTCTGCTTTAAAAAGACCAGTTATAAAAGATATCAGTGTAGAATATATTATATCTACTTTACCAACATTACCAAAATCAAAAACTACAGAAATACATCAACATATAGAGAGTTTAGTTAAACTGTATAATTATAGACAAATTATGCTGGAACGAGAGGTCAGTCTGTCAGTCTAAAAGAGTGTCTAGCTGGAGTTGGATTGTAATTTGACAATATGATAATTATGAAATAAAAGGTGTCATTTGGATTAAGTATTTTTGACAGTTTTAGTTTTATGAATTCATGTATTATGTATGGCATGAATTCTCATAGTTGCTTTTTAATACCTAATACCATTTATTCTATTTGGAAATGGGCGTAAAATTTTTAGGATTTTGTTATTGATATTTACTTGCTTCAGGTGAAAGCATTGAGAGAAGAAGTAAAATTTCATCAAACTATTTATACTACACAGTTAAACTATATAGAGTCTTTATTTACTGCTGTCAAGTAAGTTCAAATTTTTAACCTGTGGTTTACAGACTAAATGTACTTGAAGCTCTAATACTCTTTATAAGGTTCCTGCAACTTAAAATGCTTCTCTCTTTAATATATTTGTTTTAGACCTCTAGCAGCCAAAGAGATATAAGTCAATAGAGGATTAAGATTAATTTTAGAGGTCAGCAGAAAGCTACTATAACATAAGAATTTAAATATGTTAAGGATATTGTGATATTTGTATGAAACTTGTGTTTTTAGAGATGGTTATATGAGTTTTGAAAATTCAGTTCATAATATTGTTGTAGAACCACTGAAAGGTAACCGTTATATTTCATAATAATATGATAAGTCATCAATATTTGAACTGTCTTGAATGTATGATTCTTTTGACATTAGAATACTTACAAGCAACCTAACAGTAATATCTCAATAGGTTACTAGCTGTTAAAGCTACTAATTTGTTTAAGATTCATCTGTCTACAATATAAATGTTTTGTTTCTGTTTGTAGAAATATTAAGGAATTATGTTAATTTAAAGACTACTGGTTCAGAGTCTGGTTTAAGAGATTTCCTATCATCGTTTAAAACAAATGAACATAAGGTATTGTATATTTGCAAGCATCTATCCCTTCTTACCCTTGATACTATTGTGTATTTCAGGACTCTACCATACTTATGCCTATATGTAAACTCTTCACATACCACTTTATCAGAAATATATATCAGTTAGTTTCATGCCTTAATCATATTACTTAAAATTTGAATTAAATGTTGGAGATAACAATGGTTTTATTGTTATTTTGGGGTTTTTGTCCATGATGTTCCAATATGCTCTAGATATTGACTAAACTGTACCAGTCTTAATGACAATTGATGTATTTTTAGTTAGAAACAGTTGTAAAGAAGTTAGAATTATTACCAGAAACTTCCTCTAATAATAGTAAGTATTGATATACTGTAGGAGTCAATAATAAACACACCATCAAAATGATATTCAAAGTATCCTCCTGGCTCTCTTCTTCAAGGTCACAAGAACTCTCACTCTAATGTCCACTCTAAGCCAAACCCCGAGTGCAATATTGAAAATCTATAGATAGGTGTGCGGTTCGACTTTTATTACTAGATGATATCAATGAATTTTGTACACATTTTGTAGTTAAATTCTCAATTTTTAACGTTTTTTGCGTTATTTGACCTTTCGTGATCTTTGACCTTGAATAACTCAAAAACGCCCCAACCCGGCACTTTACCTCCCAGATTCGGATTCCTGAGGAAAAATGCCTCTAGAAAAGTTAACTCAGATTTTGCCCCCTCTCGGGTGACAATACTCCCTCTTCTCCCTCTGGTCTATACATACTAATTCATTTACTGTTTTGATTGGAGTACTAACTATAAAGTACCACACCCATTGCTGCTTTATTTTTCAGGCCTGGAAGCTCTATCATCTTATGGAGAGGAATTTTTCTATTTAATGGATACACTGGTGACTGAACAGCAAGAAAAGAGAGACCGAACTCTGACATCAAAACAAGAGATAAAAGAAATGGTGGATCAACAAGAAGCAGAAACTAGGCAGCTATTAGAAAATTCAGAAGAAAAAAAGATTTTCCTCAAACAATCAAAAGAATTGGAAAATTTTCAGAAAGAGTTATTGTTAGAGAAAAATGCATCTAAACTTGGTAAAAGTAACTCGGAAACTTCATTAGTAAGCAGTGTTTCAAATTTAGATAATACTTTAGATACTTCACTAGAATCTCATATGAATTCATCACAAGGATTCCAAACTAACTCCATAAACCCAGCCACCCAGAAGAACATAGCTGGAAAAGCAAAACGACATTCTATTTCTAATATGGACAAACCACCTTCTGGTAGAGAAGGTCATCGACTTTTATCTACAGTGCTACCTAATGTTTCTAAACAATCGAGAAATTATGAAGCTAACTTAGTTGTACCCAATAGAACTTTGCAACTAAGACGTTCCAACAGTTCACCAAAGATAAATGTGGGAAATAATGATACATCATCTGGTGCTGAAGATAGGTCTGCTCTCCCACAAACTAAGAAATTTACAGCTTCAAGTACATTGAAATGCAAAAATAAAAAAATTCCCTTCTACTAAAAATCTGGGTTTCTTTTACTTCAAGTTTTGTCTTTTGCAGCATTTATCTTTGTGACAGTTTGACTTCACATTCTTGCTGCAAGCACTGTCATAAAATGTTTTTGGATAATATTTAATATAATTATTGCTGGGCTACTTGGCTAGCATATCATGTCATAAATCACTCTTACAAGCCTTTGTATTTTGGATGTGTAACTATGCAGTCATCTGAGATCCCATCAATATGCACAAGCATGCCAAGTTTCATCAATATCTGATAAGAACTGTACTCCAGCTAAATGGCTAAATTGATCCGACTCAAAAATCTGTCAATGAATATTCATAAAAATAGAAATTCCAGATCCCATCATTATTTTTAAGCATAAAAAGTTTCATCAAAATCTGTAGGCTCACATTCAATTGAAGACAAACGCATAAGAGTGAAGACATCCCATATTACATCCCATTATAATAAAATTACAATTTCTTAACCTTCTATATATATATATATATATTTACAAGATATAACAAAGTAGTCATCGAAATATGATGTAAGGCACTATTTCATCATGAAATTATAAAAATATATTGTGGTTTTCATGAATGTGTCTCAGTAATATACATGTATATTGAGTTTTCTCAACTTCTAATAGTTTAAGAGTAATGACACGGCAGATTGTAATTCTGATTAGAGTTGAAATTATGTTCTATATATTTACTTTTTTAGTAGAAAGACTACATCCCTTTAAACAAAACTTGCCATGGGATTCAAATAAAAGTAGAATTAATTTTCAAGAATTCAATCAATGAATGAAATTTCAATAATTCAGAAAACATGCTGTTCAATCCAGGATTACTTAAAGACATTCACATACTAGTCTTTCTGAATAATGTAGTAAGTTACATGTTCTTCATTATTTTGAAACTGTTGAGCTGTTTCTGCCAGGATGCCTAAATCTGATGCTGGAATAGATTCAATATGGCCACCATCTTCAATAGTGTACACAACATTTTCATTGTTAATCAGTTGATTTTCAACTTTTATGCCATCAATGTTGACATAATTTGATGCATGTTCTTCACTATAATTCTGCTCCATTGGTATTTCTTCGGTACTTATGTATTCTACGGTACCATGGTCCTCATTAGCTGCCTGTAGTAAATGTTCTATAGATTGTAGATTAGTACCAGTAGATATGATAGTCTGACTGCCATCACTGTTAGTTTGTGTCACATGAGCACCCAATAATTCAGTGATGTCGTAACTACTGTCTATATGAATAACATTAGTGGGTTCCTCAGAATTTGTTGGTTCCAATTTAATTTCACGAATCTCAGGTCGATCTTCACAAACTTTCACTTTTTTCTTTCTTAATGGTTTTTCTAATTGCATCTTGGCACGTTTTTCATGCATCTTTGTATGCATTATGATATTTCGTCGATCAACAAATCCCTTGCCACATGTATCACACACAAAAGGAAATTTACCGATTTTATGCACTTGAAGTTTGTGCCGCAACATGTGTCCAGACTGACCAAACCTTTGTGGACAAATATCGCACATGAATGGTTTTTCTTGACTATGCGTTCTCATGTGAACCTGCACCTCAGTTACATCTAGAAACTTTTTGCTACAAATTTTACATGCATGATTACGAACATTAAGATGGCGGCTGATATGCTTTTTAAGAGATTGATGCGAACCTAGAAAATTACCACATAAATCACACTGAAAAGTTTTCTTATTAATCTCATTATCTTCATGTCTTGACATGTGTAACTTGAAATAGGCTGATTTTGAGAATCTTTTTTGACAGATATGACAAGACATGTCCATATGACATTGTTTTAGAGCTAAATGACGGCTCAATCCACCTTTAGTAACAAATCCCTTATTACAAAATTTACATTTTAAATGAGCTAAACTTTTTTCAGCATGAAAATGATTATTATGTTTCTCAAGACTTCTTTCGGATGAAAAACAGACATAACAAATTGAACATTCAAATTCAGTAGCACATGTTCCAGTTCTTCTGTGTTTAAACAGTGAGGACTTTGTTGAGTAAGTTTTGTGGCATTTTTCACATTCAAATTTCCCTTCACTGTTCTGACTATTATGTGTATTTTCGTGTAATTTTAATTTTACCTCACTTTGGAGCACCTTAAAGCAAATGGAACAAGAAAATTCTCCCATAACTTTTTTCTTGTGTAGTTTCATGTGTTTATAAATACCTCCAGGTGCCAAAACAGCTGAACATATTTTGCAGGTGCTATCTAAGGTAGCAAAAGGAGTTTTAGTTTTAGATCTGTTCTTAGATTTATCTGCTGCATCCATAACAAATTCTTCATCACTTTCCTCATCATTCAAACCAGCAAAAATGTCTTCCATGTCAATGTCATCTGGATTAATTTCATCCTCTTTCTCTTTTTCCACATTTTTATTCAGATCACTGGAATCATTTTCAATATCGGATACAATAGTGGTACCATCAGCCTTCACTATGACCTTTCTTCTCTTACTTCCAGTTGTTTCATCTTCTATTTTAATCTTAGGAACAACTCTATGATGCTGTTTAGCTCGAGTGCAAATATATGTATGTTCACTCTCTTGTGAGGTCTTTCTTGCATCTTGAGTGGTCTTCTTCACGATATCAATTTCATCATCTATAGACAAGGGTTGAGAAGGCGTATTTTTGGCAGAGTCATTTCTATTATCATTTGAAAAGGTTTCCATTGTGCTTTCTTTCTCCACACTTGTTGTCTTTTCTATAATTCTCATTCCAATTTTATCTTTTTTAACTTCATAAGTAAACTCTTCAATTTCTTTTTCTATGTCTTTTTTCTCCTCATTTTCACTCACCAGCTCTGTCTTATTCTTTTCTGGTTTAGACGTTTTTGGTTTTAAGGCTTGAAGAGCTAGATTATATTTTTCACTAGTTGCTCTGCGACTACTGCGTCTGGTTGCATGAATTTTAATAGGGTCCTTTGAAGATTTTGTAGTGTCAACATCTTTACTTTCAGGCACCTCTTCTGTCAGGGCATTGTTACTAGTGTTTTCTCCAACTTCAATAACTTTAATATCTTGTGACTGCTGGTTTGGTCGTAAGGGAAGTAATTCTGAATCTTTCAAAATGTCTTCTGTTTCAGATGAGCTAATATCATCATCATGATGTTCATCAGGTTGGGGGTTTTCCTGCAAATGTTTTAAGTGTTTGGCAATTTCAATGCTCACATCAATGTCAACATTTTTGGAAGAGGATTTAAAATTTCTGGGTTCTTTCTGTTGCTTGAGTAGTCTTTTATAATGATTCTGATTATCAATGAAAGGGAATTTAACACTAATTCTACTGCTGAAAGTTTCTTTACTGGAACTAAACAAACTACTTGTTTCAAGATCTGAATTGTCAGTAAAATATAAGTCTTCAACTTTGTCCATGATGATTTCTTGTTGTGACACTGGCATGATGACGGCTTCACCTTTGTTCTAAAATAAAATGAAATATAGTTTTATACCGCACTTAGATCTACATTAGGCTACCTGATATGAATAATAAAAACATGTTCAGAATTACGATATAAGGGTGACAAGATATGATGTCTGTGTGTCTGTCTGTCTGGCATGTCTGTCTCAAATTCCTTATGTTATGCGGTATTGATACACAACCACAGGATACCATATGTATATCATGGCATGTTTTACTACAATTCATGCATATGTCCTGCCAGCACGTCTGCCAAGTATGATTTTAAGAAGTAAGTTTACCTCTTTTTGTTGAGTCGAAAGAACTTTTCCATTTTTGGTTACTCTTTTAATGGTAACTTTTCGACAAGGTATGATCTTTATATAGGACTCCAGTAGTACATTTTGACCATTTGCTTTCACATCAGTGATTTTGGGACCATGAAATTTCCCCATACCGGCTAACTAGAAAATATTTTAAATCATAAACTGGAATAAAAAAAAAAACCTATTTTGAATGATATGAGAAGGATATGGTGATTTTGAATATGTTGGGCTAAGGTCAATTAACTATTCAAAAGAATAGAATCTCATAGCCTTTACAAAAAACAACAAAGGCAAAAGCTTATTAATTAGGCTACCTGCAGCAGCACAACTAATGGACATTCGCTGATAGCCTAAATTTGAGGTTTTTTTTCCTTCTTGATATAGTCTTAAAATGACTTTGCAATTGCATTGATAAAAATATATGAACATAAGCACACATTATCAATTCTAATTGTTTTTAAACAGGACAATAGGAATTCCAGATGTACCATAGTTCTATCTTGCCTGGAAGAAATATGAATTATCCGAGTGCTTATGCCTATATGGACATGGGAATTATACAATAATTTATCAATGTTGAAAGAAAGAAGGCGCCAAATTCTCATTTGATCCGTAATTTGGAGTACCGGTATAGACAGTAAAAAAAGGATCCGTTAAGTAGTTAACTAGCTACATTCAGTCACCCTGTGAACAATACTGGTGACATCAAAATCAAGCGATAAAATGATGTAAATAGTGTAAACCGATGTCATTATATAAGAAAATATACCTGGAATATTCATTAAAATAACAAATAATGGCTTGTATTCTACAACTTCCGGTTTACTGCTATTTTAGGGGGAGGTAAACAAAAATATTGAGACCACAAATAAATGTCTTTTACTTCTAGTATAGTTGTGAATGTGTGGAAATATGACTCGCTCCCGTCAGCTCAACTTCGATCACCGTAAATTACTTTGCTGCTTTTCCATTCTCTTATAAATGTATATATGGGGATGTTAATAAGAATAGCAAAGATAAAGATATCAATTCTGATCGGGTTTTGACTGGTAATGCCATAGTTTTTCAGCACAAGATTTAAATAAGTGTATCAATCGAATGGATAAGCTTCCAATTCCATGTAGTCCTATGACCCTATGGTTGACCTTCAGTTTAATGGTTTCAGTACAGCTGGTGGAAAACACACATTTTGTTTCATGAATATTTTATTGTTATGTTTATAACTCTGTTTAACTATTCAACTTATTTTTTTACAATAACATAAGTTACACCTGAGTTTTCATAATTTTGTGCAGTTTCTGCTAAAATGCTGAGATCAGAGGTCTGCATTTCATCAACAAAAGTTACATTATCCCCCTCTACAGTTTGGTAAATAATATTTTGCCCATCTTGGTATTCAATTTGTTGATCAGAGGTAACGACAGCCTCAGACGAATTGGCGAGGAAACATTGCTGTCCATCTTCAGTTGTATAGATAAACTGGGTTTCACCATCTTCATCACCGACAACTTCATTGAGGAACACAATCTCATTTTCACCAACCACAACATTTGAGATGTTCAACTCATCTGGTTTCAACTGAATTTCTGGACAAGGTTCAGTAGGCCTATCTTTCTTCGTTTCTTCTAATCTAGCTTTTCGTTCATGAGACAATAAATGTTTCTTCAGTGAATGTTTTGTATAGAAAGAGCGTTCGCACTTGCTACATGAATGCTTAATTTTACCAGTATGAAGATTTTCGTGTTGACTTAGATGGCTGTTGTATCGGAAAGAAGCACCACAAGTGTTGCATAAGTATGGCCGTTCTCCTGTGTGTATTCGTTGATGAGCAACCATAGTTCCCTTCTGAAGAAATGATTTGTTGCATACATTACACTGAAACTTTCTGATATTCTCATGGCTGTTTTTATGGACTGCCAATGCAGCTGCCGTGCTTAATGATTTCCCACACACATCACAAACAGTAGTGGCTTTATTATCCTTATGTGTCAGTTTATGTTTTTCAAAGCGGTTGGCATTATTAAAAGTTTTACCACAGGATTCACAATTAAAAGTAGTTTCGCATGCTTTATTTTTCTTATGTTTACTTAAACCACCTTTAGTCTCAAATTGCTTTCCACAATTGTCACAGGTTTCTTTCGTGTCTGCAAATAGAGAACCATGGGATTTTCTTTTATGAACATCAAGAGTCTGAAAACTGTTGTACATACCTCCACAAAACTCACATTTAAATTCAGTTCCTTTACAATCTTTACCTGATCTTTGATGCTTCAGTAAACCACCTCGAGATAAGAATTCTTTTTTACATACAAGACACTTATTTTTCCCATCCGGAGTTGCATGCATATGCTTTAACATATGGCATTCATACACATAACGACTGTAAAAGGTCTTATTACATATTTTGCATTTATCATTGGATATATCTTTAGCCTTACGATGTCGGTACATGTGTCTACCTAAAGATAAGCGATTATTAAAACTGCTATGACAATGACGACAAGAAAATCTTTTTGAAGAACCAGGAGTCTTATCTTCCTCAAATACAGAATCATCTTCTTTCTTTTCTTCCTCCATCATTGGCTTGATTGTGATAGACCCATCATTATCTTTCGTCTCTTCCTGATTTAAATCTAGTGGTGAAATATTTAATAAGTCTTTTACTTCTTCACTAGTCATAACCTGACCTTCAACTTCTTCAGGATGGCTTTCATTTGGTTCAGTGCTTTCTATCACATCTCCTGAGAATGGATTCAACTTACTTTCATGTGCTTCCAGTTCATCCTTTATTACCTGTAAGTTTGGAAGAGTGTGATCTATGGTAGTTTTGGTCGTGGTAGTCTTAGATCTGGTTGGAATATTACTATTATTACAGTTAATGTTTTTTGATGATATATCAGTGAGTCCTGGCTCGCTCTTAATTGTCTTGTTACCTTTCTTGAAAGTCTCTGCAGCTTCTGTTTTCTCTAGTTCTTGATATTCCAACATTTTTTTTGTTAGTTTTCTTACCCTTTTACCTTCCCTGCTACCAACAATAATCACCTCAGCATTACTGTCACTTACTGTTTCAGCTGAAACAGCTGCCTTTCGAGAATTTGGTTTAGTTAATTTTGGTTTCTTAGGTTCTGGTATCGTTTTCCACTGTTTCATTTGAATTTGAACATTAGTTTTAATAGCCTGAATATCAGGGCAGTGAGTGTCATGTTGTTTTGAGAGGTTTAGAGATGTGAAAACAGGATCAGATGCGTCACCTGACTTATCATTGCTAAATTTAGGACATCTTAATGAAATGGATGTATAAAAGTTAGTTTGTTTCAGAAACTGGTAGGGCAATATGAAGTTGTCTGGTTTTTGAACTTCAAAAGTGGATGGTTCACCATAGCTAAATTTTTCTTGGGAACTGATTTTAAAACATTCTGGCTCATCATCAACCTGAAATATAATATGGATATAATCAATGAAATATGAGAAAGATCACACTATCTGTGTTGAAGCTTAAATCTTCAAGAACCTTGTCTTCAGTGGCATATTAAGGTAGGATTCTATTTTCACTTAAAAGTATGTTGGGTCGGCCTAAAAATACTCGCTCACTGATTGCCTTCTATCATTGTCTAATTATTTACTTTGCTAATTGAATAAATTCAATTTCATCAAAATTTTACAGTATTATAATATTTGATGTAAGATTCTTTTAGTGCAGCAAAGCTCTACAGTGTCTATTTAGACTGTCATTGTTTTCAATTGCACATTATCAACATTCTCTACTAGTGCAAACTGGTATTATAAACTTTCATTAAAGTGAAATTTTGTCAAAATTTGTTTATATTACCTCTTGTACATTCATTGAAATAACTTCACCATCAGCTGACAATATCTCAGTTGTTACTTTCCGACAACCCATAACTTTAATAAAACTTTCCATTCTCACACGCTGAATTCTAGTTCTTTCAGATGACTCTTCTTCATTATTGATTGGACAATCTGAACCATTATCTATTGTTGAGTTCATTTGAATTCCAGTAGTATCATCCATTTCAGCATATTGAGCTGATCCTTCAGACACACCTTGGGCTGATAACAATGAAGGTTGTTGGTTATTGGCTGCTCCGAGAGCTGAGAATAAATTTTGGCTAGATTGTGATTCTTCTCCCATTATTAATCAGAACCTGAAGGAAAAGTATGATAAATTACAAACAACACACCTTCAAACTCCAATGATTTTCGCATAAGCTTATTCTTAGCTAAATGACAATTTGCAATTAAGCTTATATAAATTATATATTATATAATTTGCAATTCATCGTCTTACAAATTTACTAAAAATGGATTTTTCTTATGAGTTTAGAAGAATGTCTCATGTCCAGGGGTTTTGTAATTTAACATTTAAATTAGGCTACATTTTTACTGAAGTAAGACAATTTGTATCTTTTTTTTTTTTATCTTTTTAAATTTTTTTTAGAAAACTTTGAATGAAGGCCTATGCATGGTTCTATCATCAGGGACACTGATACAATAGCATTTATTTGAAGAAAAATTGGATTATTGCAAATAAAAGCCATTTCTATTTTAATAATTTGAACATGGATAATATGCTATTATTAATTTGATTTTTTCTAATAATTCCAAATTCCATGTGATGTTAGCTTGCCCTCCTCTTCTGTTTAATTCTAGGGTGGCAAGTCCTCATTTTAGCTTTGCCCTTTGAATAGTAGATTTGGCTTAGATAGATACAAAGAAACTTGGAAGGTTAGACAATAACATACCAAGAACTAAGTCTTTATTTTCATTGAATCAAATTTTCTTGTGAAGTCTATGTCTATTCTTGAGGCTTTACAAAATTTATAAAATCCAAATCTCAGTTTAGACCGAACCAAAATTCAAGATGGTGGCTCTTCTAACTTTTGATCTCTGGTTTCTTTATATTTTAACAATCTAAAATTATGTACGTTGTGAAAAGCAACATAATCGAAACCATGAAGAGATCATCACCCAGTTTATCGCTTAGAACAAGATGAAGTTTCTAAACAGAAGTGAATTCCGCCATTTTATTCTCTTAATCCACACCGGAAGTTAAATTTGATTCAGACTACAGTTAAATACTCTATTGTTTGTACCTAAAACGAAAGTTGTAGTGTCATTGTGATATTGATAGATATTGCTAACTGTAAAGAATCTGTCAACATCTAAATTTGTTTTCTTATTTAAGATTCCACAATTTTATGTGTCAGGGACACTGATAGCTTAAATTTGCACTAATTCAATTGTCAGTCAGACTATCACATTAGGCCCTTAATGATTGGTGCAATCATCAAACACTTAGTTTTAGTGGAATTGCTGGTGGAATTTCGGGAACCACAGACATTTAATTGGAATAGTGCAAATTGATGCTATCTGTGTCTCTGATACACATGCAAATTTAAACCCGTAAACTTACCACTGGGTGTTTGAGGAGGTGCCAATTTATTGATATAAACCCCCTTCAACATTTAAAACATGGTTTCTTTGGTTCCTTTTTGCTGGAAACTCACTTTTACTACTAAACACATACTGACAATTCTTTCTAATTATGCATTTTTATCCTTGACAGTACTTGCATAATTATACACATTGGACACATTTAATAGATCTATATTATAAAAACAGTTTATTACAAAAATATATTTAATTCTCTTTAATAATCAAACTTGTTTAATGAGACCCTGGATTGCCAATCACTTAAGAGAGATTCCAGCTATTTCAATATTGATAGGATAACCCAAAAGAGTTATATTTATGGATAACCCAGTGATTACATGTGAAATAATAATATAATAAATTTCTTTGTACTTTTTGATCATTTTTGTGAAAAAAAATAGTAGAGAAGGCAATTTCTATAGTTCATTAAAACAAAATTGTAGGACCGCTTATAATTACTACATTATTTTGATTACAACTATTCACATTACACATTTCTAATAAAACAGACCACAATATTCAAAATTTACTCCCAATGGTAACTCATATTCCATTTTCATCTACATTGTCTCTTATAAAAGATTGCTTTAAAAGAAAAATGTCACTTTCAGCAGAAATACAGGACCTTATATCAAATAACAAAACATAACCTCAATTTTTAATTAAAATAGGGCCTATGTATTCAATTCAATATCACAAAAAACTAGTCCTTAAACAAAATCAATGGTAATGGTTCATGTATACATTAACTAACAAAGATTTTTTTAATGTTGCAAATATTAGAATCAAAATAACAAAAGGGTACTCAATACATAGAGCAATATGGAAATATTAAAACAGAACCTGAAACATGTCGTTATTCAAGAGTTTGACACTGTGCGATCTTCAGTTTTTAGTGTTGATCAGTTTTGACAAATCATATTAACAAAAATATGCTTTCAATATTGCAACAACATAGTTCGAATAGCAGAAACTTACACAAACTTTATCAATGAGTGAAGTGCAAGAATATGAAAGCAAAATGGAGACAAAACCGGAGTGTTGTGTTTATATTGAGTTTGTAAACATATGTAACTAAACAATTTTCTAATTCAAATTATTTCCTCATATATTTTATATGAAAACATGCCTCCCATAATTTGTTACCGTACTTAAATTATTTTTGCATTGAATTTTTAAATTTTTTTCAAAAAAGAAATCTATGGCTTAACGAGCATAAGAGTAAATTTCATTATAAATTTAGTTCAAGGCATGCACACATAAGACTAACCCTAGTCTGCCTCTTAATAAAAAGTTCACAGAATGCATAATGACTAGTTAGTTACCAACTTACCAGAGCAGTCCAATTTATTCTTGGGTACAATAAATAGTGATTGAAACTGCACACTTACCCTTTTAAATACTTAAACTACCTAGACATAAGGTAGACTTTTTTGTTTACTGGTTTGAATCAGATTGGGATATCTTTTATTATACTTTATCAGTAGTTGTTCAGCTATTATTACAACAATCTGCTTGATAAATACATAGTACATTGTCTATATGTGAGTTTTTATCAATATAATAAATAGTACACAGCTTGTGCAAGAATAGTTCATCTACTTGGTAAATATTATTCTATTTATCATAATAATCATGTCTATATTTGGGATTGCCAGCATAATTAACTATATGAGATGTTATTAAACACTGTATGACCCATTCAGTAGACACTATTGGTATTGATAACTGCTCTGCTTTCTTTAACACTGTACTAGAACAACTATTATCTGTTATTATCACATCTAACTTGGTTTTACCTGAAACAATGTACAGGATGATTACCTGAATCTCAAACATTCTAAAATCATAAACCAGGAAAATATAACAGCTTAGGACAGCAATCTAAACCAGTTTGTCAAAAAATGTAAGGATTCACGGGTAGTATCCTTGACTCATCATGCTGGTTCTTGACCAACCGTCTTGGCCATAACCTTTTTCAGCATGGTCAATTGGAGTAATGAGGAAAGACGTTTCACACTCCAAACAATAAAATATGAAATAGCCTACTTTTAGCTGTAGGTAATTTGGTAATAAGATGACATCTACTGATATTCAATACAGAAGACCAGGCTGATACAAACTCTTTATTACTGGAATTAACCATCACATTTAAACCAGATAGACAACTTCCTCTAGAATTCCTGTTAAAATATAAACAATCAGTGTGTATATAATAAATTGAGATAGACAATATTTCGACTTATTATCTTTATCTTAGGATATATTGCCTGTTCGATTACTTACGCCGCGCTTACTCGTGAAAGCTTGAATGCGTTTGTTTTAGCGATGACGTCATCACTCGCGCCAAGTATCCCAATGTGCAATACAAGAAGATGCGGACAATGCGATCAATACAAATTTGGTGTCCGATTACTTGCGCCGCGCTTCCGCGACAATGTTACCTGGGCATTGTTTGACATGCCCTGTCCATATGTGCGAAAACCGTTCGTTTACGTGAATGCCCGAGTAAGATTGTTGTGGAAGCCCGGCGCAAGTAATCGAACGCGAAACACATAAGTCAAGTTGTAGCAAATAACATATAACAATGCTCTAATAGTGTAGAAATGAATTTTGAGCTGTGAACTTGATAATTTTCACTCCAATACATATGAACTACCAGAGAAATATATCAAAATACATGTAGTTCTCTTTTTATCTGAATAATCAATTTCTGTATTTCGCAAAATCTTGATTGTATCTTAGTTACAATTTTTGCTGGGAAAGTAAAGCTGTTTTACAGTGTGCTTGACTTTTCACCTGTTATTTTTGACACAACATTTAACTCTACTCACCATTCACATAACTTTCTCTTCTCTATATTTATACCAGCTGGTAGTATATAAGATTTATAATCTAATAATCTACCCTGAAATAGTCCATCTATATATTAGACATTATAGAGATGATATACGAAAAATTACCTAATATACTGTCCTGATTTCAACCACCTCTATCTTAATTAAAAAAACAAACAAGAGTTCAAATTTGGTCATGGTATGACTGTACTAGCTCCATGCTACACAGACTAAAATAGATTTTCAAGTACATGTATGTAAACTCTGTATCCCTTTGCAAGTTCTTAAACTTTACCTTTTTAAGAGCATATATTCTTCAGTGGACTAACCTTGTGTCATAACTATAAAACAGAATCCCTCTATAATCTGCTAAATCATTAATTATTCAAAAAGGCTTAAGAGAATTAAAGTTTGTATGTTCGCAGAGGTAGAAAAATCTTTAATAGGCTGTAAGATACCTGTGAGGAAGAGAAGATGATCCACAAATGAGAGACACAAGGTAAACCAGCAGCAAGAGCCTGCATATATTTTACAGTTCTATGATGTGAATCAGATATCAAATAACAACATTTATACTGATTAATCTGAAATTAGACACAATTTATAATAAAATCATTAAACCAATATAAATCAATTCAAATCATTGAGCAAATACAGTAGTTGCAGACTACAAGGATTTAAAGACTAAGAAATCCAGCCGATGCTAATTGTCAATTTGGACTGTTATTGGAAGAAACACTTGCCCTTCAATCTTGAGAATCACAGCAAATTTTTTTTTTTTATCATTTAAGTAGTCAATATGGTAAAACTTTTTACCTTTTCCTGGTCATATTCATTTAATATAACACCTCTGCCTTCTACTATTAAACTGATTAACTGATGTTTGTTAAATGGGTGTAGTTCTTCTTCTGAAAGTACATAAAACTCTTTACTTTCACATTATTGGAAGAGGAGCTGTTAATGAATTAGCCATGCATTGGTATGATTCAAATTCTATACGTGTGAACTAAAAGAATACTGGGAAATATGCGTTTAAATTACCTTCAGCAGAACTCTCTTCAGTTGATATATCTGAATCTCTTAATTGTTTTTTCTCTTCTCTTTTCTGTTCTTTAGTCTTTACACCATGTGTAAGTAAAAACGCCATTTCTTTAAATAGGCCAAATGTCTTGGTACTGTCATCAAATAATCCTGAAAACATTCAAATAATGTATAAAAAGAAGGAAACATACATAAGATGAATAACTTTGTGAACAACTGTCATTCTGACTGTCAAGACTTTATGGCAATGGTCTGTTGCTGATTATCTGTATCCACTTTAACCACACTTTCAACACGTCAACTAAAATAGGAACACATGACTTCCTTTTTATCAATGATATTTTAGAGCCTCAACATGGCAGATGACATAATAAGAATAGAAAAAAATCTTCAGCACAATTTAATTTATCCTGAGTGCAAAAAATATCTGAAGTCTGATCCCTTTTCAGTAGTAACTACCTTGTAATGTAATAGTGACTAAATAACAGTAGAACACATACCAACTCTAACTTTCCTAGGTGAATGTCTAGTACCACTGGTAGAGGGAGAATCTAGTAGATTACTTGTAGTAGATGAAGATTGATGTGCTATAAATATAGAACATGTTCATTAATTAATAATAAGAACACAATCTATATTCCATAAGGATAATAACCTTGTTTCTGTAATATTCTACACTAGCTGTTCTTTGACAATATTCTAACAACATCATTATCGGCTCAAACCTTTAGCAACATAACATCATTTATCCTATTAAAATCTTTTACATATTGTATACCTTTTTCTGTTTGTAATCTTTTGCCTTTCGGAGTAGGAGTACTAGTAGCCATTGGTCCACCTTCTCTCGCTTTCCGTTTTCTACCTAATCTTTTAGTTTCACTTGGTTCTCGCATTTCCTTCTTAGAGTCTTTCTTAGCTGATCTTGTTCTTTTACCTTCTACTAGATTATCTACAAGAAACACACCACAAACATGTAGACTCTTATCCAAGGGATTCTGAGTAGATAACCATGCTGGTATGAGGTGTTCACAGGGAATGAACGTTATCAGCTAAGTCAACAGTTCCCGAGTTGACAGAAATCAACTGCCTGCCAAGTGGTATAAGGTGTCCACAGAGATTGGGACAGCACTACCTATCTCTTGAAATCAGTAATCATTGAAGTGGAGCTCAAAAACTTATTTCACAAAAAAAGTTCAGAAAATAACCCTGCAAACAAAATTGACTATCAACAAAGTCGTATAATTGTAAATTATTTATCACTTTTCTCTGAATTTCTGTTTAAACTTGACCCAACCAGCTCTGTTTAGATCAAAGTAAAAGGTTGTACCTAATGATACATTAGCTGGATTGATGTGAGTTGAAACATGGCTTCCTCCTGGTTGACTTATTCTTAATTCTTCATCACTCATCAAACAAGCTGCTTGATCTTCACTTAATATTACTTGACTGTGAGAATATCTGGAATGACAACAATCTGGATTTAACTGTAGTAAACTGGATGAGGATCTAGTGATGACGTTTAAATAAAAGCTTACAATCCGACCGAGGCAAAAATATTACTTTCCTTAAGTATATGTGATCATTTTAACTAATCATATTTATCAAACACAAAAATTATTATTAAGATGATATCAGTCTTCAAATTCTTACCACCATTTTCCGAAAAAATTCACCAATTCTAACACATGTTTCAAAAACAAACTTACAAAGATCTTATCTGCGAAGGATTTACACATGTCGTCCACAGCATTGTTTTGTTGAATTTACATCTTTATTTCATCTCCTTGACATTTACTACGTCATCTTAGTAAGTTGATCGCAAGTCTAATATTTTGGGCTACTGATTTTTTTTTTTAAGTCAACCAGACTTTTTCAACAACCTGTGAAATCTGATCTTAGTTTCCTCTTGAGAAGTGTTCTATATATTATACCGGTATTGACATGATGTCAGAGGTCAATAGGTCAACTGTGTTGTTTTACCAACAGTTCTACTTTGTAGATCATTATATTTACCCTTATCAAAATTAATCAATATGTATAAATATGTCCAAACTGTACAATCTGATTTTTATTTCATGGCCTAAAGAGCAACCATTGTTGTTAAATTGGTTGCCCAGCTTTGTACCGAGTAAAAGACACTCTGTGGTAACCTATTCCAAATACTATAATAACTGTACCTTTGTTTTTCACCATTATCTTTCTCTACTTGATATAAAAAAGATTCATCAGAATCAGAAGTCAAATGACCCAGTATCATCCCTGTATCAAAATAGCCATCATTAGACAGTACCATTACACTCTGACCTATAGGTAACTGTTTAACTAGTAATATATTACTATTCTTTACATATTTTACATCACCATCATCAAATGATACCATTACTCTACAAATATAAAAAAATTAAAACCTATTTTACATCACCATCATCAAATGATACCATTACTCTACAAATATAAACAAATTAAAACATATTTTACATCACCATCATCAAATGATACCATTACTCTACAAATATAAACAAATTAAAACCTATTTTACATCACCATCATCAAATGATACCATTACTCTACAAATATAAACAAATTAAAACATATTTTACATCACCATCATCAAATGATACCATTACTCTACAAATATAAACAAATTAAAACATATTTTACATCACCATCATCAAATGATACCATTACTCTACAAATATAAACAACTTAAAACCTATTTTACATCACCATCATCAAATGATACCATTACTCTACAAATATAAACAAATTAAAACATATTTTACATCACCATCATCAAATGATACCATTACTCTACAAATATAGAAACAGGAAAAGTCAACTCACAGTTAAATTGCAAAAATACGTAACTAATCTTGGTCATAACTTGGCAGTCATTTTGTCTGTTCTACTTGATTAAGTCACAACATTCATAAAATCCAGAAATTAAACAAAAAACATCTTGTTTTTGCAATATCATGTATCTAAACCAACTTTTTTCTTTGGCCCCATAGTATCAAAGTTTTTTGCTTTGGTACTTTTATTTCAATTTCTTCAATGATTTTTTTTCAAAGTCTTTTCCAGCTTAAATGTTTAGACTTTTTGACTATAGTCCTTTAAGTCATTACCTTTCTGAATCAATTTGTTTTATTGTACCAGGATAATAATAACCATCTTTCCATTTTGCCATGACAGCTGATCCTTCTGTTAACTTACTAGCATAGGTAGGTTTGGTAGACATAGTAGTAGTTGATGTATCTTTATTACCACCAATCATTGGTATCTCAGGACTAAAATATTCCATAAAACAATTTACTATTAGTTATATCACAAGGCTTGATGAGGCAGTAGTAACAAATTTTCACAAAGATATATTGATAGAATATGTTTCCCTGTCATTAGAAACTTACACAATATTTGACAAAATGTTCAGCACATTTGAAACTCAAAAACTTCACTTTAAATGATTTCAGATCAATTTTAGTTTTGATTTCCAATCAGATTACTGTATTTCTTAAAATCTTAAATCTTAAAGTTTTTTTTCCCAGAATTTGGCCCTTGTCATCTACCAGTTTTTCCTTGGTTTGTGGTTAGTTTCCTACCTTCCAATATCACATAGTACAACAATTAATCTAACCTGGTTTTAGAAGTGTCAGTAGTAGTGGTTGTAGTAGTAGAAGTACTTGTTGTATTCTTAGATCTACTCTTTACAGACTGCTTACCTCGTCCTGAAATTATTTTCAAATATTCTGATATTCTCAGTTACAGCAAAAATATTGAGTGGTAGAAGATACTTGCATATAAACACTCTACAATTGAAGTAGGGCGATATGGGATTTTATGTGTATCACAATATTGTTAATTTATTATCATGATAGGTTCAAATATCATGATATAGAAAATTTCCGAAAATAAACTCTTTATAGCGTTATAAAGTATCTCGATTATTGTTTCTGTTTAAAAGTATTCGAAAACTGCAGCTTGAGACACAAGATCTAAGACACATTTGTGAGCTTGGAATTTTAGGTTGGGATATTCCCAATCTGACACAGTTATATTTTTCATCTATCAAAACCAAAGGTATCTATCTGGTGTTGCTTTTTTTGTTGTTATGCATATAATGTACATTATATCATTTCCTTATCAAAATCTAGAGTTTACCAAAAGAGTGTGAGATATCAGTGCTGTAGCATGTAAAAAAATACATCATATAGCATAAGAACCAATAGTCCAAGAAGATTATTTGGCTGAAAGAGGTTGGATTTCTGAATTCTTGCCAACCTCCGCAAAATGCCACAAAACTGATCAGCATAAAATTAACATCTGAATTTAAGAATATACTAAATGTTTATCTCAATGCCAAAATCTCAAGATATCGTCTTTTAGACTGATATTGCAAAAATATCGTCACTATAATATTGCAACAGTATACCTGAAAAATGCCATATCATATCGCTAGTTTTTTTTTCTCATACCGAGTTTTTCGATAATATCGTCCAACTCTACGCTACAATGTTTTTTTTATAAAATGACATGTAGCAATTGAACTGAACCTATATAACCAAGAGTTATATTGTCTGTACACCTCAGTACATCTCAGTATAAATGAAATCATCATGTAAAAATGAAAATATCATCGCTGAAAATTTAAACATACCAGTGCCAGTTTTCTTTTTAGAAGAACGTCCAGTAGGTGTTGTTGAAATATCTTCCTTCCTACCAGATGATGAAGAATGAACACTAGCAGTGCCACCACGAACAGAAAATCCACCACTCTCATCTAAACCTGGATCATCTGGCACTTTGGTAGTTGTGGTCTGACGTTGAGCACATTCTATTTCACTAGTATCTTGACTACTAGAGTCAGCTGCCTGTTTACGAACCAATGGACTGGTTGATTTAGTTGTTCGAGGTACCTCAGAATGTTTTTTAGCTGTATCAGATGTCTCAGGACTGGTAAATATGACATCAGAAATTTCTACACCTCCTGTATGAGCACCCATCTACAAATTACAAGACATTGTTCTCAAATAATTCTCTGAATAATTATAGATTTCTAACAAAACAAATTATTTTTAAAATATTTTGAACCTAGATTCTGTTAACAGGAATAGAATATTTTTGAATAGCCGTTCTAAAAAATGTTGATATACAATTCAAATTATGTAACACATGTAAAGACGATTTCTCTGATGCAGGAAGATAACAGAAAGTCTTTCCAATAATCACTTACCTCTTCATTACCAATAGGTGATTCATTAGGAGTGTTAGCTATATCAGAATGTAATGAACTAGCTGCTATATGTGTGGTCTGTGATGAATCAGATTTAGATTTCTGTAATGATGGTGATAGAACATCTAAACTAGGACTGGTTTTATCTAGACTTTGTGGTAAGCTATTTTTAGAACCACTAGACCGGGACAAGGACTCAATGTCACCCAGTTCTCCTGAACTTAATGTACTTAAACTTCTTGGTGATTCAAATTGATGAACTTCTTCTTTAGAGATTTTTCTTTTTACCACAATTGGTTCTTCCCTCTCCTGTTAAAAGAAAGAGGAAATTTGGCTAAAAAAAAAGGGTTAAAAGTGTTTTTTTTACAATCTGGATCATCTTGTTGAGTATATCGAGTTGACAAAGAGTTTGTTTAAGGGAATATTCAGATTATGCCAATTTATGTACAAGAATTCAAATAGAATCTTATTTGTTCACTTTTTTAGTAGAAATGCAATAAACATAGCACCTATTCTATATCAGGCCAACTGTATCATCTATAAGCGATAGCTAAGTGCCAAGATAAACCAAGAAGCTGTTAAAATAGTAAAAGAGATGATGATAATTAAATTTCATACCTTTTTAGTTTTATTATATAGAACATCACCACGTTTATTAGTTATAGTGATATCTACCACTTTATATTTTGTGGTGACTTCATGATACTCTAATTCTTCCTGAGAACTTATACTAGAACTGGAACTTTTCTAAAATAACAAAACTCAATTAGCATGAACCTGAAAAAATGTCATTAACAAGTGTTACAGAAAAGATGTCTTTTTTAAATTCTTTTAATGATTTGTCAAAATCACTCAGTTTCAGAAAATTAACTCTCAAGTCAAAATCTTTTAGTTTCAGCTCAGTGAGCTCACCTACCAAAGCTTCCCACAGCAGATCAGGACAAGAGCCAGTGTTGTATCTCCAGTATGCAAACCAAATATTAGATTTACCTGTAAGGCTTCTGCAAATTCTTGGAAGTCCATTTTCCTTTGAGATTGTGGTCTTGAAGATTCACCATGTTGTAACTGTACAGAACTTGGTGTTTCATGAGAGCTTCTTGCTTCTGAATATAGACATATAGAATTAACATTTTCAAAACCCCAAAGCAAACAATGGGTGTGTTAAATTCATCAACCTATTTCCAAAGAATTTTAAGATATTGTTACAGATACACCTTCACCTCATAGAAGTGAAAAACATTGACAAGATAATTAGGCTAAAATAATCATCATGGCACCACCAATTGACCTGCTTTTTTTCTATAACAGCTGTTGGAGGAGTTTTAGATTCGAACAAAAATGTCATCACTGACAAAAGGAAAAATATTCAAAGTACTAATCAGACAACGAATTACCTGTCCTGGATCTTAAAGGTGTAGTAACTGGTTCTTCAGGTCGTACAAACTCATCACTAGCTTTACTTTGTTTTTTAGATGATGTTCTCTTTCTACGGAGAGTGGTATGTCTAGACAGACCAATTTGTTGATCATCAGTAGAAGAACGGGTCTCAGTTATTATCTGGGTTTTCTTTGGAAGAATTCTTTTAGCTGGTAGTTTCTTTAACTTCTTCCCAGATATAGCCTAAAAAAGAATTTCGTTTTGAAAGCAATATTGATTCAATAACAATTCTGCATAATGATTTTCTTCAGATGCAAAACTGTGTCACCTTCAGAAAAACCATGAAACACAACATCCAGATTTGCATTTTAATCAGAATTTGATATTGGCATAAAAGAGTGCAAGAGTTTTCCCTCACCTTGGGAGACTTAGAAGTCTGTTTTGTTGATTGATCAGGATGAGTAGCAGAAGTAGTAACACTGACTGTAGTGCCCAATAAGCCTTGTGATTGTGTACCAAGGAATAAATAAGGATCAGCAGTTTCATCCTCTTGAGCTTTAGGTGCAGCTTCAGAAGCATCTTGTGACAATTTCTGGTCATCAATTTGAAAATGTACATGGTCTTCTACAGACACTTCTTTTTCAAGTTGACGACTTGAGGTGGCCTTTTCCAACTCAGCACTTTTATTTTGGGAATTCTGTTTTGTACAGGGCTGTTTCAGAATAGATTCCTGTCCTGTGTTTAAACTCTGTTTTGGTTGAGAGCTTGCTGATGGTACATGTTCTGATTCTACAGTCTGCTTTGGTGTTGAATCTTTATCAACTTGTCGACCTTCAGTTAGTACTGAACTAGCTTGAATCTGTTGATTTGGATTTTGTTGAGAGTCTGATTTTGGTTGAGAAGTTTGTACTGTTTCGGTACCAGCTTTTGCTTGTGACTTTGGTTTTAACTGGACACTTAGCTGTTGCTGTGAACACTCTTTAGTCCGAGATGGTTTCACTTGTGAGCTCTGTTTTGTTTCAGAATCTGATTTTAAAAGCAAACTCTGATTGTTCTGAGAACTTTGAGCCGGCTTGGATTGGGATCCAAGAGAGCCTGATTGGTCTTTAGATTCTTCATTCATCTTATTAAGTGATTGTGATTGAGGTATTTCTTCAGAACATTGTGATGCTCGTTGGATGTTCTGATCAGGGGGAATGTCTTTGTCAATAGGTTGAACTACATCAGTCATTTCTTCAGCAGCTTTGGACATCTTGTCATCACTGGGTATCTTCTTCTCCAATAAAGATGTGTATGTTGTATTATCCCTATGTTCAGTTTCAGTTTCCTCACTGTCCAAAACAATGACTGAAGGTTTTTTAATTAGATTGCCCACTTCATCTGCCTCTATAATCTCTACACTAGTACTTTGTTTAGCTTTATTATCAGGTTTATACAGCTGAGTATCTTCAGTTTCTACTACAGATTGCTTAAATACAATACCAATACAATTAACTAGCTTCTTTATCATAGAGACCCTATGTGAACATAGATTTATCATTAGAAAAATGATATATGAATAATATTGGTTTGATTTCAATTGTAGCCATTTCTGCAGTACCATTTTTGACAGTTGTCATATCATTTTGATTGTTGAAATGTGTTTGATAAAAGTCAAAATAGAGTAAAGTAAAAAGAAAAACCATCAAGATTTATCTACAAATAGATTAATAAACATGCTCAAATATCTTACCTTTTCACCTGTAACAGATGAACAATCATCATTAGAAGGTTGAGTTTCAGCATTGGGATCTACAGATTCCTGTTCTTCTACCACTATTGGTTCAGATGCATTCTCTCTTTCATTGTCATCATCCTTGGTAATTTTACGTCGTTTCTCAAAAGCAAATACATCTTCACTGCTTTAAAGACCAATTAATTTCATAATGATGGCAATTACAACAAAGTTTGTGCTACTATAGTACAAAAACCTAATTTAGGAATTTTTTAACAACTATATTTTACTTTCTATAAAATACAAGTTAGGTAATAGAGCTGGTTTTATATATTGTAGTTATCTTTGAAGACAATGAAATATTAATTCAATTCACCTACCTCTCCTCTATAAATGTTGATACATGTTTGGGTCTTTTACTACCAGTTTTTGCCAAATTGAATACATTTTGTTGATTTGTATCATCACATATATTATCACCTTCTAACACTTGAGGCACTAAATTAACAACAACAACAACAATATTTTCTAGAGAAATGTTTATCATCATTATAAATCAACTGTTTCAACATTTGATCAAACTCTGTTTTAATGGAAGTTTAGAGCAAATTCCTGAGATGTTGAGATCATCTCCATTAAGTCATCCATTCCACAATATCCATTATATATTATTTTGCGTTAAACAAACATTATGGCCAACCTATACTTGATGTCCAATAGCTGTTTGTGGTTTCTGGACATTTGAGCTGCTTTGCTGGTTATGTCCTGATTCCCAAGTCAAGAGCCCTATTTTGGCAGCTAATAAAATACTTTAGTAGTTAGTTAGTCTTGTGTGGCGACACTCCTTTACTTTTAAGAGACTTTTATCTTCCATGAATTAAACCTGAGTTTGATAAGCACAATGCATAGCCAACCAAGGAGGACTTGAAGATTTAAAGAAGATGACAATGTATAATCAATAAAGTCAACTTATTTTCCTGTCTTAAATACAATAACATAGTAACCATTAAGATGAAATGATGTATCTGAATTATTTTCAGTCTCTGTACATATGTGATCAATATCTAATGATGCTTGTTTGTCCAATCCTCCCTCTCTGAAACAGATATTGTTACATTTTAGAAAAGAACCAAATCATTTGATATTCCCTTTTAGAAGTTAAAATAAATAGACATAGTTCATTTTGTCAAGTATATAAAATACTGTCAGTCATAATCAAAAACTTGGTCGCACAAAATAAACTCTGTGTTGTTACTATCAGGATATCAAAACACATCACTGACTATTGATCAAGTCTTGTTTCTGTATGAATGAATGTGACTTACTGTGAAGGTGATGTTTTATTAGTATCAGGACTAGTACTATTATCAGTACTGGTACCATGTTTACTATCAGTAATAGTAGGATGTAACAATACACCCTCTCTTGGTATTGATAAATGGAAACTTTCTGTAATTATAAGAACATGAATAATGCATAAGGATAATATTCTGGTAATAAATGTGTTTAATACCTTTATTCTCTGTTTATTTGACAAACAGATCATCTACAAAGATGAAGTTAGGCCAACGTATCTACAGTATACCGATCAGTATACTATCATACCGATAAAGGTACCAAATTCAATCATAATAATATCTTACCAGCTAGTGAGGAGTTGGTTGTTTTCTTACCAGTATCATCAATATTTATTTCTTCCTCATATCTTAATGACTGACATGGACTCTCATCTGTAAATATACAATGGATCTACTACAATTACACTAATAAATATAAGAAAAGAAAGAAACAACCATTATTACAAGGATAACAACTTATCTTCAAGAGCATCTTGTAACCAGCTGGTCCTTGTGCATAACTGGATCATTCATACCCTTTTAAAACAATGTAGACTGGAAATATGAGAAAATATGACTTGATATAGGTCAACAGACTTTCACATATCGACTGCGATTACAACCCATGACCATCATTCAGTTGAAGTAATCAAGCATGGTAATGATACTTACTATAAGGATATGGTTGAGATGGAGATAATCTTAAAGCTAAGTCTTGAGAATCTGCTACAAACAAAATAATCATAGTAATTATATCAGTGCTTAATAAAAACAAACCTGGGCAGAAGTGGTATTGATTTTTTCACTTTGCTTTCCAAAAATTCTTATGATTTCAAATAATCATATTCTATAATTTTATAAAGTGACTTATTATCAGCCTTAATGTTAGAAACTCTGTTGATTTAAGTCACTATTACATAACCTGCACAACACAAACCTTGTTCACTATTGCTTAGATTCAATCTATATATAAGGATATATAATACCAACCTGGTTTGCTTTCATTACCAGTATTTACAGATTCTTTGACCTGCAACATTTCATTCATCATTATTGAGGTGTACTTACTTTATTACTTAATTACTTTAAGTCATAATATGATCATTTAAAAAATCAAAACAGTCAGATTTTCAAAAAAATTCCCCAAAAATGTTTTAACCTCTGCTTTTAAACTGTTATATAGATTTACAGTCCAGGTTACAATGAATGACCAGTCATACTGCAGAATATCTAACAATTCTAATAGGCATCGGTTTTCAAAATAAATGACCAAGTCTACTATTTTAATGTCAAGGGAAATGATTATTAAAAATACTCATGGACAATACCTGATCATTTAAAGTAGCTATAGCTGTAGGATCATAGGTCTCCTCCTTTTTATCATTATCTTCTTAAATACATAAAATATAGTTTTAAAATATTGATTTTGATGGAACTGCTGATATGTCTTAAAAAAATAATACTCTAAAGGAGCACAAATACCATTAATTAGTCAGCTGTTATCTCATGTACATAACTGCTATTGCAGTATTTATGTATTTATGTACAGAAAATCACAGAAAGACTTAACCAGAGATGTTGTCAAAGAATGTGGATTTTTAAGGATTAAATCAATACCATAATTACCTAGTAAGCTATCATCTGTTGGTGAATTAGGTATAATTCTAGGTGTAGACATTATAATTTCTGGGGAATCACCCCTGAAGAACAAAAAAAAAAACTGAAGTACGATCATATGATTCAATATAATGAAAAAACAGGTGTTAAAACACAGATATGAATTAGCTGAATGGCATAAAATAGTTTGAAAATATATTTTCATTGTTAACTTACAAATTTTGATCAAGAGTTTCAGGAACTATCATGGGTTCTCCTGATAGTTGTAAACTACGAAAATTCTGACTACTTTTAATTGGCGTAATTTCCTCATCATCACCTGTAGAAAAAGATAATTAAAATATTTTCTATCTGTAAGTCTAGTAACTGAAAAAAAACCCATGGATCACACATTTTCAAAACACAACACAAATAATTGCTTAAGCCATGTTGTTTTTAATAAGAAATTGATTTGTCTTGCATTCAGTATTTGAATGACACAAACTCAAACAGTATATAAATCAATATAAAACTAAACACAGTGCTGCTGTCTACTATAAAATAATGTTAGATTATCATCATGATGTTATTTCAACTCAGTAACAATTTGACATGAAATACTTTGATCTTTAAAACTTACATGTATCTTTTACAAAAAACATATCTTCTTGAGAACTTGGTGCCAAATCAAAACCTTGAGATCTGTAATTATGAGATTAGGAATATAGCCAAAAACTATGTCTTAACCAGATTCATTAACTAAAATCTAAAAATAAATATGAAACATGACATTTTTAGTCTAATATTACATTGTGAATTGTCCATTTAAGCAGAAACAAGTATTTACTACTTACTGAAATGTATTAGCTATTACAACAGGAGAACTTGTTACACCACTAGTACTGGCTTCATCTAGTGACAAATATAAATAGTGAAAAGAAAACAGGCAATCTTATTTCAATGGCCATTGTAACAGTTTCTTGGTATATATGAAAACATCTACATAAAAAGTTTTGAAAAGCAGACTATTTTTCAGTTATATGTATATGTACTTCATCTATTAATCTATTAATGAAAATACTTTCCCTCTATTAACATATACACAGATGGAGCAACTGGATTCGTTTAGAATATAAATCCATGACTCTTTGGATGTCTGACTGAGGCTCACATTTCTTACTTTTCTTAATGAAAATGAGCCAGTTTTTCTCAACTTTGCTTTTCTGTAAATACCAACCAAATTTTGAAGCCAATCTACATGTATGCACCATAGAATTTCTTAAAAGCTCCTATGCAATGAAAAAAAAAATAGATCACCTGTATTTTTACCAGCTGTAAATTTTGTTTTACAAATAACAGTAATATTGGCATCACTAGCTGATTGGGTCATAACAATATCTTCATCACTGTAACAAAATTCATCCAAAGTTTTCTGTCATTAAAATACAATTTCCCTACCAACCAATTCTCTTTTAGTTCATGAAAATTGGGTTTAATGACATTGTGGAAGATCTTCATAACACAGGGCTCATATTTTCAACACTACCCTAGTTTTATGTACAAAATACACAAAATCAGTGACACATAATGGTGGCTCACTGCTTTTGTGAAAAATCTGCCAGCTGGTTGCATATGATATTTCATGTATTTCTTGAATATCATCTCTGAAGATGTTTCCATGTCAATCCATATTAAAAATGCATTTTGAAAACACATACTTCACTTTCTGTTAATTATCTTAAGCCTACCTGAAACTATCTTTTTCATCATTAGTCTCTGAAACATGTTTAATCTGTTCCATCTCACTCTCACTATCTTTCACTAAAACCTTTGCCATTTCTACATAATATATAATAGTTTCTTATTTTTCTCAGGAAAATCAAAAGGTTTATTGTTTAGAATAAGCTTACATCATGATCTCGATTTGAAGGAAGGTTAATCAAACGATTACTTTAAAGGTCTACTAATATATTTTTCTTATTGAGGTAATATCATTTTCATTCAGATAAAGTATTTTTTCCATAGTTTAATACATATGATCACAATATGTTTCAATAATTATTATATTTCTTCAAAATAAAGTAGACTGGTCATTTTAATGTTTTGATGTGCATAAATATCTTTGCTCCACTACAGAAAACAATTACCAAGGACCAACCTTGTTTCTTAACTTCATCTTCAGAGCTTGTTTCAAGCAATCTATTAGTAAATAATATACTCTTCTCTTTTGCTGAGTCAGATTCAGAAGTCTAATAAACAAACAAAATCAGTTATCATTAGAATAGGCAATATCCATTTAAGGGTTATATATATATGTAATATCATTGCTGGCACAGTACATTGGTGAATCAATACAAGAGAAAATAAACCCACTTGACGCTGTCTACACGCTCAATTTGACACGATTTTACTAGGTCAAGGGCAATAACTCCAAAGCCGTTCTTCCCAATATTACCAAATCAAAACTTGAAACAAAACTCATCTATATAAGCTTATGGAAATTTGAAGCAAATTTACTAGGTCATGGGCAATTACTCCAAAACCGTTCATTCTATCAAAACCAAACGTCCCCATTTTCATATAGGAGTATAAAAAGTAAGTCAAACTAATTAAAAGTACCTTTGATGATTTTGTCAAAGCAGGCAAATTTTGAAGAATTGTCTTAGTATCTTGATTGGTTTGTGTTTCAACCTGTGATGTTCCTACCATGAAAGCTGTGGGAACATCTTCACTGTCATCATCAGATGAATCCATGGCTAGAAATAAACCTGAAATACAGTTTACTATTCATACAACAAGTGTGAAAAAGTGCAAAAAAATATATATGAAAGAATGCTAATCACGGTAAATTAGAAATTGGGCATCACTGCTACTTATGCTAAGGGCCCTGAGGATCAACAAAAAATAAGTTTGCTAAAGGGACAGTTGCCATACATGTGTAATCTACCGATGTTGTCGGGTTTCTACCGCTTTTGCATGTTGTCCACCGCTCTACTGACAGAATACCCAATTCTACCATTTTTTGGTTTTTTTCAAGGGACCTACAGTTTTCGATTTCTAGAATTATTTTGCCTCGGGAGGCCTAGCCTATATTACACATTTGTTAATTTCTACAGTGTCATGTAAGCCTATGATAAATAATTAATTTACATAGCTTAAGGTATATTTAAAAAAAAAGATTTTTCACCAAATCTCCAGATTTTTCAAGGCAAATCTTGAAAATTGAAAAAGCTATAATAATGGAGGGAGATATTTCAGACTATACTATGTTAGTTTCGAACTATAAAAAGACCTGAACTACATTACATTAAGAAGTGAGGAGTACATATCACAAACACTAAACAATAATATGGAATAAAATCAATCAGATGATGTTTCAACATAATTTACAAGGGTCGTCATCCACTGAAATGATAGATGAACTAATTTTTATTTAGAGTAATTTCAGTCTTCGGTGGTGAAAAGTTACATTGAGACTTAAGGACATTGAGAGCTTATTACCTATTTAAAAACCAGTCTGCTTTTTCACTTGGATCAAATACAAATGGGGACGTATCCCCCTTGTGCAATTTAGCCGAATTAAGAGCTGTCAATAGAACATTCAATATCAACCCTAAAATTAGAAGCTTATTTAGTTACTGCAATCTTATCATTCGTGCATTTCCTGTTTCGCGCCACCATTTTGTTTTGCAATCTCAATCTGAAGTGGATTAGAGAAAAACAAATATATTTGTAGTATAAGTTATGCATATTTTTCATATTATATGGCAGATATTGCTTAAGAAATAGTTTAAATATTTCATTTTGACATAGGATATTGGTTTGATAACGCTATACATGTTACTGTCTTTATTTTCCATCTATCCGTTTTTCTCTCACATTATCAATCCTGACTTCCGTTTCCGCTATCGGTCCTTTTTCTACGAGACCGACAACGGGTCAATCAGCGACATGAAGGTAGCCTTACAAATCAACATAGACAGACATACGCTATCCCTTGCAATAAAATAGTTATCCTGTTTCGCTTGATTTTATATTTTCTTTAACCTTTATGGAAAATAAATGCCATTGAATCTCAAATAAAGCTGAGATGAGTCGGATTAGACGATGCCCCTCATACGACTGAAGTGACAACACATGCTTAGTTGTTAAGTTTCTCAGTTTGAATATAAACATGCGGCTTGCTCGTGGATCATAATTTATGTTTGGCTGAGGTGCCGTTTGCTTCTTCACTCTCTCATTTTAGCAAATTTCATGTCAATCAAATGATCGAGGAGATCCTTACGAATACCAACAAAACGGGACAGACGGGAACAGACTCTTAGTATCAATATAGATTGCAGTCTTGTCTGTTCTGTTCCATGTGGCATTGGCAGTACTGAATCTCTTGTTATTTTCATGAATTAGTTAGTATCAAATGAATTATATCAGCGGGCTTAGGCTAGGTTGCATACAACTACAAGTATGTCTAGTAAGTTTTCAGCCTCTTTTGACAACTGATGATGAAGTGATTTCTAAATTAATGTCTTTATAAAACCCATTTTCATTTCAGATCAACGTAGCTAACCCGGCAACGGGTTGCCAGAAGTTATTTGAAATTGAAGAAGAGAAGAAACTGCGACCATTTTTTGAAAAAAGAATATCCACTGATGTTCCTGGAGACTCGTTGGGTGATGAATGGAAGGTATTGTACACCGTCTGGATTTCACAAAGATAACAACTTACGTTCATAAAGATCCTTTCTACCAGCTAGCCTTTGTCGAAACTTATTTCATTGATCTTTCCCAAATTAGCCTAACCCGTTCCATCTGAGTCAACTGGATTAAAGATGTCTTATTCAAGTTTAGAGAAAAAGTTCAGACTGTTAAATTTTAATTTTGAATATCTTTTCAGGGATATGTTTTCCGAATCACCGGTGGTAATGATAAACAAGGATTCCCTATGAAGCAAGGTGTTTTAACAACTGGACGAGTAAGACTTTTACTCAAGAAGGGAATGTCTTGCTTTAGAGAACGACGTGCTGGTGAACGTAAACGTAAATCTGTTCATGGTTGCATCGTTGACAACAGTTTAAGTGTTTTGTCTCTTATTGTTATCAAGAAGGGTACGTTTTCTATTTTTGTGGAACTGAACTGTGATGCCTCTGCCTTCCATCAGATATAAAAATGCTTAGGTGTAAATATGTAAAATTGAGATTTATTTTCTGTGTAAAAGGGGCTAGATATACAGGCCTGACAAAAATGATTAATTTAATCTGTCATTAGTTTCTGTCTCCTGTTGATACCAGCCAGAAGGATTGGTTGCATGCTTTGCCGATGTTAGAAAATAGTTGAACAGCCCTATATTAAAGAAAATTAAAGTCTCAACCCAAAACTATTCAACCACTTTATTTTAAAGGGGAATTCCGTTTTTTAGTAAAACATGTTTTAAAAGGGTTAATTAAAAACTGAGAGTACAAATTGTTAGAGCAGTTTGACGTAGTGATTGGCTTTATAATGGCTTGTTATATTTAGTTGAAATCTTTAGAAAACGAAGGAGACATATTTCTCTAAAATTAGGCATTTATTTTACTCAAATCTTAACAGTAGTTTTCTAACAGCTTGTAAAACACATAATGAAGTTTAAAAGGTTATGTGACATTCTAAGACGAATGGCATAAAGTTGAACAATTTATTTTGAATATTTATGAAGTGAGAGAAAAAAATTCAGTTGAGAGCTAAATGTAGTCAGAGAGTAAAGATAAAACCCTGAGACATTCTGGTACTAATGTTTTTTCAGCATGTTTAGAGTTCAGGATTTGTTTCACAGTACTTGATTTATTTATTACAAGCAATTAGATTGTTTCGAAAATATGCATCCTTCATTGTAATGAGATTTTTAAATAATGTAGAATAAATGGGTTTTTCTACAGTATGTATTTTGAAATTGATGAATTATATATCATGGTTGTATTTTGACAGGTGATAATGAGATTCCTGGTTTGACTGATACAACTATCCCAAGAAGGTTGGGTCCGAAAAGAGCTAGTAAAATCCGAAAGTTATTTAATCTAAGTAAGGAAGATGATGTAAGACAATATGTTGTCCGAAGACCTATGCCCAAGAAACCAGGTTGGTATGAGTTTTACAGTTGCTTGATATATTTTTCGCAAGTTTCTTGAACAGTCTCATCAGAACTTGATGATATAGAATGGGTATGCAAGTGAAGCATCATCAATTAGATTCAAGGTAGGCAAGGTAACATACGCCCACTGGCAGCTGTCAGAAATGATTAAACAGTCTTTAGTGACTACAGGGTTGCACAATATAGCTAATAGAGAAAAACGTCAAGTCAGACACGATATTTCGGTGAAAAATTATCCGATCATCACGAAAATCAATAGGGATCATCTTCATAATGACATTGACACACAAAATAAAAATCAAAAAAATCCATAAAGAACTGTAACCTGTAGAGTGAGCACGAGCCAAATGTGAACGGACCGACGGGGTGATTACAATATACGCCCATCTTACGTGTGGGCGTATAAAAAGAAATGCACATTAAAAAGGTGACCCAAATGTAAAGAACTTGTAGTGTCAAGGGAGGTAATTAGGCTTGCATGACGGTGTACTTGAGTGGTGAGTTCAATTACTTGAAACTCTGCATTGATGAAGATTATAAGGATGTTTACCGGTGCAACCAAGCTTTATCATTTTTAATCGTAATTGACTTTTTGTAGGAAAGAAGCCTAGGACAAAGGCCCCTAAGATACAGAGATTGATTACTCCAGATACGATTTCTAGAAGGAAGCATATGCTGTCTTTAAAAAAGCGACGTGCTGAGAAATCAAGAGAAGCTGCAGCTGATTATGCTAAATTATTGGCTCAGAGAATTAGACAAGCTAAAGAAAGACGACGACGATCCAGTGGTGGTTCAGTGAGCAAGAGAGAATCTAGAAGTTCTAGATCTGAGGCTGTTGAAGATAGACCAGGAATTGGAAATGCTAGATCCAGGGGACAAAGAGTTACTGATATTCGTGATTTAGCTAAAGCTTTCTCTAAAGTTGGACGTAGAAGTATATCTGGTAAAGTTAAGGCTGGCAAGAAAACAAAGAAACAAGGAAAGGTTGGAAAAGCTGCCAAGCCAGGAAAAGCTGGAAAAGCCAAACCTAAGGCCCAGAAACCCAAGACAGCTGCCAAGAAAAGTGCACCAGCTGCAGCCCCTAAAGCTGAAGCCCCTAAAAAGGCAGAAGCACCCAAGAAAGCCGCATCAGCACCTGCTGCTGCCCCTAAAGCTAAAGCGGCTAAGCCTTCTTCTGGTAAACCAGCCCAGAAGAAAGGACCTTCCAAAAAATAAGCTGTGAAAGAAAATAAATTCAAAATTGAAATTTTTTTGTCTTAAATTTTTGATGGGTACTTTAGGGTTTTATACCATATATTTGACACGACTAAAAATCACTCAACCACCATTAAAGGTATATCAATCCATATATAACTCTTGAAATTAAGAAGAGTTGAAAAGACTAAGATCTGGATTGCAGTCAAAAGAAAAACTATGTGCTGCCCTCAATTTATAGACATATTGTTGTCTTATGTTCGTCCTGAACTTAATAGAAGCTTCACTTTTGATCCCATTTAAATTTATATATTGGGAGAATCTCGGACAACATTTTTATTCAGATTTTCTTAAGTTTTCCTCTGTCATAGTCAAATTGACATATAAGTACAATAACAGAAACCAATTTGGACTACTTCTTGCAACTCTTAATTATTATACGCCCACATGAAATGGATGATTGTAATTACCCAAGGATGAATCTATTGACAATCAGAAAGCCCAATTAATAAAATAATTTGCTTAATTTGACACAAAAAATAAGGAAACCCATCTTTAAGGTTGGTAATTGTTACTGTACTGCCAAATATTTTTATTTAAAATCAAAGCTGCCAGTGGGCGTATATTAACTTGCCTGGCAAGCTATCTTTGTATAGTTTGTCAATATGAGGATCAAACTATGATTAATTTCATGGATGGATTTTTTTACACGCCTACATTTCCGTCCGTCCTTCCACAATTTGCTTGTGAACGCAATATAGGCTACAGTTATTATCTGATTTTAATGAAATTTGGTGTGATCATTTATGTTGATGAGATTTTGACGATGTTTCGATGATCGTTGTTTTAGTTATTGCCCTTGACTTAGAAAAAAAAACAATCAAAATATATTTGTGAACACAATAGGGTGTGATTAGGTGTGATCATTTATGTTGATGAGATCTTGGCCAAGTTTGAATTTGATAATTTTAATCCATATAAAAGTGCATCAAACTTGTGTGGCGTTTGAAGGTGATGTCAGAATTTTATTAAATTTTGTGTGTTTTATTAAATCAGCAATATCTTGGAGAAATTAAATTTTTGGTACAATTTGACAAAGATTGGCGACCGCCCTAACCTTGATAATACTGAAAATGTATCTTTCTAGGCAAACACTTGTTTAGTCTTTCTACAGGATACTACCACGATATATTCTCTTTGAAATCATTTTCTGTGGTCATTGAACAGGGGATTTGGTTGGATATTGATTGACCGAGAACATGAGATGTTTAAAAGACCCTGTAGGGATTAAAAAGAGTAATAAAACAGATTAAGAGGAATAAGATAAAGATCAGGGTAGAAGCCACAGCGCGGTAGAGAATGCATGGAGTAGGCGTACCATTACATTTTATACCGGGATAAATATATATCATCAAAAGACTTATTTTTGGTCTTGGTGGTTTAATACGTCAAAATCTCTCCACATGAACGTATAACGTCGGCACCCATATCATCATCACTTCTCGGATAGCTTAAGAGTAAACAGATTTTATCTGATATTTGATGAAATTCATGCCAAAAATTAGTAGGTTATCTCTATGTAAGACGATTAATCAATAAACTAAATATTATTGAAACCTTCTTCTTAACATGTTTCAGAATAACTTAGTTTAATGGATTATGGATTTTTTTGATTATAGAGGGATTCTGTTGTATAGTTATGGCACCAGGTAAGTCAACTCATGAACAAGGTCTGTTTTGGCCAATCGTAAAAAATTCAATTTTATGGTCATCCTAGAGGTAGGCTAGGTAACCCCTGCACTCGAATTCTAAAAATGCTATAGCTTCTTAAATTGTAAATCGAATTCCATGAAGTTAAATGATTAAAAGAGATGAGAATTGTCCTTACAAAAGCTGTGTCTTCCCGATTCGCCCCTAAATTATTCTCTTTTCGCCTCTTTCCTGTATTGCCTCTTGCTATATTGATTAACACTGGCCTAAGATAAAATTTTGGGAAAATATCGAGGTGTAGAACAGAGTTGAGCCCCTTGTCCCGAAAACTGAAAGTTCTTTGGAGCCTTTTGTTTTCTACTAACTTTGCGAAGTGCGGACTGTAGGAGTTAACTCCAATGTTTTCAATCGATATTTATGAAGCTTTGTGATTTTTATACGCCCACATGGAAATGTTGATGAAACTCGATTTGCTAATTTGATTTATGAGATCTGGGCTTGAAATTAGTAATCGAATGAACGCCATTTGGCATTATTGACCTAGACTAAATAAATGCTCCCTAAAGAAACCCACAACTTTAAGACACTCTATAATGCATACCACTTTAATTGAATAAAAAAGGGATATCCTTAAATTAAGAAAATATTTTCACTTAAGATGATTTATGCATACGGGCCCTGCTTCTTTATATCTTTGAGATGTGGAATGAGACGTCATAGTCATTATTGTTTGGAGAAAACTAATCATCACTAATGCACCATCTTTATAAAATACATTGTAAAATAAACTTTAGCATTTTCATCATTAAAACATCGAATATAAAAGGCCTTTAAATAATATTGCCATTATATATTAAATGTATAAGCACCCTTGCATTCATACTGTAATTGGACTGTAGACGCATAGGCCTACGCCAAGCAGATTCTGAAAATAGCGATAACTACAACTTCATGATAATTCTTTTATAATATTTGATGATAGCCGAATGACTAATTTTTACTGAAAAGGGCGAGAAAAAGTTTTCTATGTTCATTCTGAAGCCAGACTCTCATTAAGTCACTTTATTAAGACAAGTATAGCCTTTCCCAAAAGTTCCTTAATTCAAGCAGCTTCGATTAACCTTTCCGCACTTGTCGCATTGGCGTTTCCAGGAAGCATTATGTGAGGGGGGGGGGGGGGTGAACTCAGGCCACAAAATTTTCCCGTAGGGAAGGGCTACAGGCAACTCTTTCGCTATGTAAAATGGGTTATGGTATATTATATGATTACAGAACTGAGTCTTTGTAGGTGCATACATGATACGGAAGTTTGAAGGGATTTTGACTTATCTATAAAACTGTTATCTAGTGAAAATTGTATATTGAATGATCTCAGGGCATTTTTATTGAAATAAATTTTATTTTTATCTGCCTTACTAAAAGGCGTCTGTACCGGAAAACAGTAGATGTAATTTAAGTAGGTGTAGTCACTGTGGTTGTTTGTATTTAGCGATTAACAATTTCCTACCGTGCTTCATTTTGGCAGGAGGTATTTCCTTTGTCATAATTACAGGGTAGGGTTCACTTGAAACTTTTCTTTGATTTAATTGATTGAACTTGAGAGTCATGTGGCGTGACGGGTAAATTCGGTCGCTTTCTTCATTTCAGTCTACTAACTCCAGCCTTTCTAAATATCACTGTTCATATTAATAGAACGAGCGTAGGTGATTCCTATTAGAATAACGAACCAGTCGTATGATATTAAGGTGAAATCAAGAAAATAAACCTCTCATTACACACTACTGTTACTCGATAGACTTGTTAGAGAAGTTGCGCGGCGCAGGGTTAGTACAGAGTTAAGTTAGAAGAGAGGGGATCTTTACGATAGTGAACTGTGTTCTTTGGATTTAACGGGAGTTTATAACGGTGACTCTAATGTGTGGATTATTGGAATAATTTAAGGAAATGTCCGTTATAAGCGTGATATTTGTGATAATAACTTTATTATGTGGTGTACAGGCATGTCCAACACGATGTCTATGTTTTAGGACTACTGTTCGCTGCATGTTTTTACAATTAGAAAGTATACCTCAAGTAAAGCCTGAGACCACTATATTGTAAGTGTCATTTTTCAACTTTTTTTTTTATTTTATCAATAATCCTTCACTCACATCTCAAAGTTGTCTTGTGTGTAAGTATTGAGCAGGTTACCTCGTCCATAGAGATCTTTTCCACAGATTATATAGGTAATAGTTTTTGTCAGGTATATAAAGTAGGCCTATCCATCATATACCGGCCATAGAGTATGTCAACGAAAGTGGCTCATATACTAAATACACTACCTTTGTTAAACATGTCGTTATACCTTGGTTGTAAAGCACCTATACATGCCGGAGAGTAATTATAAGATTTTGGTATATGATACACCTAATGATATATATTACTTACTCTGAACATCACCTCTTTGGAGGATAGTGGGGGAGGATAGCGAGGGGGGGGGGGGGGGGGGGGCTATATTTATGCCATATCCATAATACATATCTGAATATTTTATGGAAATTTGGTTCTGACCAATGATATGCTCAATCTGCCGCATGCAATTTAGGCCCCGAAGTCGTTACAATTAGTCGAAATCGTCAGTCGTATTTTATTCACCAGTTGTCGTGGAGTTTTTTTCACTGAGTTGAAAACCTTCTAATGGTGTAATAAAACATGGTGCTGAAATTTTTTTTTTGCTTCGCTTTCTGGAAAGTTAAGTTGAAGGGTCCTAAAAGAAGGTGTCCTTAACTGATTTTGAATCAACAGTCCAACTCTCAAAGTTCCTTTATTGAACAGTGTTAGCTGAATACATTCAAGTATGTTCTGCATAATATATGTTATATACATAAAGTTATATAGTTAATAACTGAGTAGCACATTGATTTATTTGTATAGCAGTTGAAAAAATAGTCACATGTTTTTTTCAACTAGTCAAAATTGCAATTTTTCAACTAGTTGCAAAAGTCAGTCTACTGGAGTCCATCACAATTTCATTTGTGACTGACTTCGGGATCTAATGCAATTGATGAAATGGCTACATGTAAACCTATTGTTACACTTACTTAAAGTGTTATAGTCATCAGAATTTTTCTTTTACAAGATGAACACTTTTAAATACTGTAATTAAATAATATGTACAGTGTAAGTTTAGAATAGCGTCAATTCTAGACTGCAGTTAAAGGCTTTTATGAAAAATCATGATAAGTTTTTATTTCGTAATTTTGTTTTGCACTTAAAGCCTTAAAACAGGTTTGTTTTCATCATACTGTAATTGATATGGTTCTATTGATGTTTGATTATGATCATAGACTCGAAATAAAATTGTCTATTAGTTTTTCGCTTCGAAGAAACAAAAATATGTGAAAAATACAGTGAAATGGTGTTTTGAGTCCCATTAAGCTATTTAATGTCATGCAGTGTGCAATAAGGGAAATTTTGTCAGGACACCATACTCATTTTAGATATCCAATAAGCACATAGAGCCTCTGTTTATTTGCCCCAATTACCAGATGCTTTTTTTTATGTCAGCATTCTCGACCTACATCTTTGACTGTGGGAAGTCAGATTGAATTTTTTTGAGGTATTATCTTGGCCTAAACTTAGCTAGCAGGCATTTATTTCGTTGAGACATTGCAGCCCCATGTGAGGTCTCAGCTACCAGATCTGAATATAATTTCATTTTAACTGACCTCTAAACCACTATTTGTTGACACCCTGTTGGTATTTTAAGTGAATTTCTAATGACTAATATTTCAATATATTTTAAACATGCATCTTTGAGTGAAAAAAAAAGATGAGTTATTTGACTTTCACTAAGCTGATAGAACTCTAAAGGTCATATTCTAACTGAGAGAAATGGCTGAAATTTTAGGGAGAAGCAATTTTTTGAAATATTTTGTTGATGTTTAAAAGCCACTTGAAATGCCTGAATTTAATTTGATTTAAACTGCTTTTGTTTCAAAGGTAGATTAAATGTTTCACAAATAGAATTTGTTGCAGCTGTGGTGGGACAAAAAGTTTTACTTCTGTACTCTTGCTTGCTAACATGGATGTCTAATCTTGGCATAATATCTTAAAATTGTTAGCTCCAGCTCCCCTTGTAAGAATGTAGATTAGAGGGTCTGACAGAAGCATCTAGTCATTTAAATGGAAGAAAGATCAGATTAATGCTTTCTTGGCAAAAATATCACCTATCATACACTGCATATACTTTCCTGTTAGCCCAATAAAGAGCAGAAAAGCTATAGAATATTTATGTTTCTTAGTTTGTGAAGGTTTTTTTAATGTGTAAAGTTTTGTTGGATTGTTTTGTTCGAATTCAATGCAATTCAGGATTTCTTTTTCGCTAGAATTGATGCCATTATAACAGTTGTATCTGCATGTAAATATATCAACGTCCAGGCCGCATATTCTCGAAATGATTTAGGATTTCCTAGGTCTCACTGCTAACACTGTTTCTAGGCTATCATAGATCGTAGAATATGTGGTCTGGTAGTAACAACAAACTTTAACTACATGGTATGTATTTGTTGCAATGCAGAATAACAATACTCCAATAAGATTACTAATTTTATAAGTTTTTAAGTTAATGAGGCCCTTTGTATTTTTCTATCTATCTGGTGTTGATAACTGTATCACTCTTTAACAAAGTTATAGTAACTAAAGACAAATGTAGAACCACTGAAATGTAGGGTAAAAATCTACTAGCAGATGGTGTCCTGAAGCAAAAATACATCCATCAAAAAGTTGAACAAATGTTTTCAGAATTTTTTAGTATATTACTGCACAACTGTGTCAATGATCAATGTATACTTTTTTTTATTTATAAACACTTTCTTTTATGTCTTTTCAGAGATCTTAGATTTAATAAGATTAAAAGTATACCTAATGGAACATTTAGAAGTTTAAATAGATTAACTACATTGTAAGTATATCTTTATTAAATTCAAGGGGTCTAAATATATTCATCTGGGGATTAATTATAGAGTGAAAGGGTATTTAAAGATGAAAGCTTTGTGGCAAATCTAAGAGTTCATACTTTAGTTCAAACATAAAGTGCAAATTAAAAAGATTTAAAATTATTTGATGAAACTCTACAATGGAATGGGTCCCAAGATAATGCAAACATCATTCATTGATTGGCCCCAAGGGTCAGCCATTGAACAACTAGATCACTATAGTTATTAAATATATCACTCTCAAAGACTATATATATGGCAATTAGTTGTATATTAGATAGAGATTCCCTGCCAGTTGTTAGTTCATAGTGCAAATCATCAAATGGGGATTCTGTAGTTAATTTATTTTGTAACTTTAAGTTGAACATCAATTGGGGATTCTGTAGTTAATTTATTTTGTAACTTTAAGTTGAACATCAAATGGGGATTCTGTAGTTAATTTATTTTGTAACTTTAAGTTGAACATCAAATGGGGATTCTGTAGTTAATTAATTTTGTAACTTTAAGTTGAACATGAAATGAGGGATTCTGTGTCTGTTTATCTTGAAGGGAAGGCTTTTTGAATCAACAATTGGAGTATCAAAAATACAAGTTTGACAGTAAGGTTAAGGTGAACTGATGTGAGATAACTTAAAAAGGAATTCCTTGTCTTTTCAATGAACTGCAAAGATGTAAGATTATAGTGACAATGTGTAGCACAAAGGCACATATAAAGCGGTATTATAGTCCATGTTTTTAAGGTATCTATTATAAGATATTGCTATTTATTTGTATAGTTAATGGGGTAGAAAGTATGATGTTATTATTTTATGAGTTAAAGTTTATGACCTAGTATAATTTAGACCTATAAAAGTATAAAAGAGATTGTTGAATAGCTTTGTGCTAATTTCACCTATCTAACATAATTGAAATATTCAAATCATTATTTTATATATTTTGTTGATAGTACAACCAAGTGGATTCACATCAGTTTTATTCCCTTTTAAATTGAAATGTTCTCTATAATCCTAAATAAGAGTTGAGTTTGACAAAGTGATTTTTTTTCTGAAATCAATGAAAAAACTTTCAAAATTATGAAAAATTATTTGAGGATTTCTGTTTTATTTACAATCTTATTGCCATCAACAAATCCATAACATTTAGTTATAATGGTCATTTTTTTTCTCACCACAACTAAGTTTTGATAAGAGTTCAATTGAATCACTGCTTGTAAACTCAAAATATGATAAAGATTCATGAAAATAATATTGCTATTCTATTTAAACTTTGAATGAGTACTTTATATAAGAATGGTTTTATATGGTGTTATGAAATAAAAAAGGTAGTGGGTAACTAGGAATTCCTTTTAGGTTAGATAATTTTGGAATGTGTAAGCTATAATAAAACATTAAAAATTGTATTTGAAAATCAAACTTTGAGTATATACACATATATTATATAATATGATGAGTTTATTTGTATAATATTGATAAGAAACATATTTTGTCTGTAATATGGTGTCTATTTATTTTTTTAACCTATCTTTTCTCTATTTTAGATTATTAAATAATAATGAAATACAAGAATTGGGTGAACATTCATTTACTGGATTGAATGAAATAAAATATATGTGAGTACTTTTCTATTTATGCAATAACCTATTCCTTCCATATATGGAAAGTTAATCAGAAACATTGATAAGAAAATAAGAAAATATATTGAGCTAAGCTTCACTTGCTCTTCACTTAAGCCAAAAATGTTGGCAACTGCAATTTTTGATCCTTGATAAACACAAGTTGACTAAATCCAGCGATTGATTTTCCCAGATTAATATCAGTAGTAAATTACCAGGCTGAGCCCCCTGAAGCTTTTAGGTTTTCCAATAATGTTCAATAATTCAGGTATATTACCATATCTTTATGTTTGTGTAGAGGCCAATTGTTCAATAAAGTATCAAATTAACCAATATTTTTCTATCAAACTCTAGCATGCCAATCAATTGGTCATAAAGTGTTGATTCTAAATTGATATTTCAAATTAAGCCTTCCCAATAATTTTCATCTGAGAATACTAAATGAATCTTTATAAATAATCCTATATAACCTCTTCATCTTAGAAGGAAGTTTAACAAATTAGCTACTTTCATAGTGAGACAGTTTCTAGTGAAGCTAGACATGACTGGCCATAACATGTCTATTTTCTATGTCTATTGTCCATGTATACCCTTGTTAATTCCAAAGAATATTTGGTTTGGAAATGATAAATATGATATTGGTTCAAAGGTTGTTTTCGTGAGATTTGAATTTGATTGTTCCAACACGCAGGAGAGTTGAATTTCACCCAGGTGACAATATCATAATTTCCTTTAGAAATTTATTTCAGAGAATGAAACATGTTCCAGATGTAGTGATATAAGATCTAGATAAATTATAAGTATGACTCAAACCTAGCCTGACCATGCCTTCTTATACTTCTGACAATGTAGTGTTTATTTTCATTTTTCTCCAACAGTTCTCAGACAAGACTTTAATTATTTGTATTGGTAACATTTTCCACTGAATATGAAAAAGTCTAACACAGGGCTTGACAGGGCTTGTCATTTCCAAATGATATTAATCAGCCATTGCTGTAATAAAATTAAAATATTTGCATTTGAAACTTATTTGAAGCCTGATTTCGACTCTGGAAAGTAGAAAGTTTCCTACTAGGGTGTTGTAATTACCATTTTACCATGGGTACATATTTGAAATATCAGTTGGCTACCTGAGCTCTCCTAAACATGATTTCCTAGAAAAATATTGACATAACAAATGTTATAATCCACCTCAAAAATCATATTTTCCAGACCTTTATTTCTCCTTCTCAAAAAACTTCTCAATTTGCACTACTAAAAGATTTGCACTTTTAGTAAAAAAAGAGATTTTCAGTGTCATATATTCAAAGAAAATCTATTTTATTATATTTTCACATAATCAATCGCTTTTGAATAATCAGATACTCTTTCACACTATCACAGAAAAAGGGGTATTTCTGTGCAATCCTCCTTATTTAGAGTTGAATAATTTATGTTACTTCTATTTCTAATAACCGTGAAAGCTTGTTTTATATGTCTGATGACATGTAGAAAAAGAAGAAATAAAATTGAATATCCCATACTTAAATACTTGCTTTTATGAGCTCTACACTCTACATTTAATAACATACATAATGCACTTTATGGGAAGTATATGAATCATTATTCAAGAGTTCTTAAAGGTCTTGATTTCTGTCCAAGCATAGGTCAATAAAGTATCATTGAATTTTTCATCCCAGATTTCTACTGTTTGTGATGCTTGAAAGAGGAACTGATACAGTCGCAAACTGATATCTTATGTGCTTTGAACTATTTCTTGAAAGGAAACGAGTTCCACGGTTTATCCACAATACAATTCAGATTACTTCTTTGCTTTAAAATGATAAACTAATGAAATGAATTCAAAGAACATGACATAGAAACTGTGACATTTTGTCTAAATTAAAGTAATATAAGAAATTTGTTTATAATACAACAGGTGAGAACTAATTATAGAAGAATCAAAATACAGAATTTTATTTGATTAGAATTGGCAGGATTTATGAGATTCTTGACTTGAATTTGATATGATATCAAACTGTAAGATAAATTTGAAGCTCTGATGCACTATAACTGATATATGGAAGATATAAGATGAAATTGTCACGTTTTATCAGTAAATATTACTACAGGTATAAGGTTAAATATATTTGTGGTGAAAGATGTTACTATTTTCTGCAATTTGATTGAAGCAATCAAACAATCAATTTCAAAATAATTCTGGAATTACAGGAACCACATAGCTTGTACAGGAATAATACAAATAGAATCTATGAGTGTCCTTGTCAATGTTACACACATTAAGGCTGGCAAACCTCTTTGGAATGTTTGAATTCATCTAAGGGAAATGATCAAAAATATCTGTGAAATGAATGCAACTGTAGAATTTGAAAAAAGTCAAGAAAAACGCAGATTTCAATGGATGTAGCAGGCATTTTTTTTTTCATCCTAATTTATTCACTTGTTTGTAACTTAAATTTTGATGATATGCTATTTTGATGGTGTCCAGAAAATTGCTTTTTTTTTTTTTACCTAAAAAGCCATTATTGTTTGAAATTTGGCAAATTGACAATGAAAATTGGCAAAATATTGAATAATGTAAAGAAGAGATAAACTGTATCAAGTTTTATTTGCTATATTTGAATTGAAAACTCAAATACCTTGACCATATTACAATCTGTTTATTACCTGAAAATGGCTTTATATACACATGTTCATATGATATATTGCAGTTCGTATTTCATTTCGTAATAAATTGTAGTTATTTAACAAAAGACAAATATTTAAATTCACACTTGTAACTGTAATTTTAGAAATTATCATAAGAATAAAATAAAACCATTAAACATTTTATGTATATTTTGTCGTAGGCTCAAATTGACTGAAAATAGAAATATGAAATGCTCTATTTAAAATGAACAGAAATTTTTCTGTTTTTTTGGTAATTATGTCCAATATTGTTATTGCCAAAATTTTGTGACTAATCTATCTTAATTTCATTTTGTTTGATTTTCCAAATTTTTGTTCCAAAATTCAACTTGGACAATGGTTCCCCCATTAAGTCGATCTGCCCCTAAACTGTACCCCTGTGCCACTGCTTTGGTCACTGTATGTTTTTACTGTATTATATATTTCAGATATTTATATAAAAATAAAATCAAAACAATTCGTGAAAATACATTTAAAAGTACCAAGAAACTAGAACAATTGTAAGTTGTTTTATTATTGTTATTTTATATTATTTATATAGTAGTTATTAATATTGCTACTAATCTTACTCTGACCCTTGGAGATGGTGTCCCATTTTTGTTTGAGGCAGGGCACCCATCACATCTCTTGTTTTTTTCCCAGTCTGATTCAGACATTTCTTAGTGACCCTTTCCCAGACGACAGCAAAAATCATCTGTTGTAGATAGCATCAAAGTTTTTTGGAGAATTTGGCTACCAGATGCAAGATTTTTCTTTCTTTACGGTATTGTCAGGTATGATGTCAGTTATAATATAAATTTCTATACCAGTCAGTATTTATCATTGTACCTG